TGTGGGAACAGGAAAATATTTTACCTGATTGACTTTGGAATTCAGGGAGTCTTTTGAGGAGTCTTGATCCAGGAGATCAGAATGGGTTGGGCGAAGAATATGATGAGGCATTAACTAAGTAGAGGAAGGGTATGGTGGGCTTTGTGCTCCTCTTGTTCTATGCATTCTTATTAGAAAAAGTGAATGGCTAGTTTCCTTCCTCCACACGCCTCTGTTTAACTAGCAGTAAATAGGAACCCGGTTGTTAGTCGATTGGCGGATCGCATTCCAGGGATAATAATCCCTCAAAAAGAAATGTGGTCACTCAATCCATGACTGTTTGTGATACACTAGTCAGTTATAAATATCAGCATAAAAGGAGGAAATACTCTCAAGCCCACAAAGAAACAGACTAATCTAATGAAGGAAGTTAGTTGCATTCGTCTCTTTCCTCTGCTAGCAAATACATCTGGAATTAGCTTGGCAGTCACATCACGCTCAATATGAAGCAATGTCACAGATCAGTCTGACTTGGATTCATGTTCAAGAAACTAAAGGGCAGTCTGCTGACGCAGTGTGCACCCAATTCTTTTTTATGACTTTTAAGAAAAGTTTTGATTTTCTTCCTATTCGTAATGTGTTGCTGACTGTTTGAAAAATCTGTTGCACCAAATAATGTATATTGCAAGACTGTAACCTTAGAATCATTCACTCAGTTGGTGATCCATTTTGGAAGCAAATTGTCTTATTTATGGTATTACTAGTTTCAGAAATCTGGTATTATATAATTATTTCAGGAGAATATAAGCACATTTTTAAAGTTTTTTGGCATTTGAATTTTAGTGATTCAACAAAATTATCACACATCGTTATAACAAGAAAATTAGATGTAACAGAAAATTAGGAATACAAAAGTGAATTGTCGTGAATCCACTGATAAAATATGCAATTTGCATTTCCTATGCACCGCCTGATGGCTTTAGAGTACAGTACTTGTTTTTTTGTTCATGTGAATTGGAATCTGGATTGTTTTTCTGTGCCTGGTGGAGGAGAATGTACGCCATTACATAATGGATGTGTGCATTTGCAACCTGACCTTTGTATGCGAAGTCATCAGCATTGCACACATCTCTGCTTTGTGTTTTGTTTGTTGGAAAGACAGGTGGCTGGTACCAGATAATGAATGTTACCAACACAACCTGACCTAATGTAACATGGTAACTGACGTCTCAAAATATCTCTTAAACCTGATTTACGGTATGGAGCTGCTTTTAAACTGCTTCAGTACTAATTGGGTTTCTGCTCTCTTGCTGTTTAAATCACTCTGTTTATATTTACAGAACACTTTTACCAGCGAGCACAGTTAAAACATGACTGATGGAACATCACCCCCATCCTTCCCCTTGTTATGCTGCAGATTCACTTATATGTGGTGGCATGTGGCTTCTGTACTACTACTAATAATAATATAAGGGGCCATCCCGCTCAAGGGCTTCATGCATGGTCGAGGTCTGGGCTAGTCAGCATATTACCTTCGGGCCGGTTGCAGAGACCAGGAGACCGTGGATCACCTCTTCCTGGAGTGTTGTTTCACAAAGCGGTTTGGAAAAAGATGGAATGGATTGTCTCTCGCGGCTTGTTCCTGGGGAACCGCTGTCACGGCACTCGGTGCTGTACGGCCTGTTCCTGGGCACTCACAGTGAAACCCACATCGAGTGTGCCTGGAGGATCATAAATTTTGTAAAGGAGGCGCTTGGCAATCCCGAAACTGACAAATGCGCACAGCAGTGTCCCACAAACAGTCGTGGATTGAGTGACCAAATTATTATTATTATTTTTTTCTTGAGGGATTATTATCAGGTGTGTGAAGTAAGGAAACTTGCCCAAGGTTTCGACCTACTGGGAATCGAACCCAGGTCTCTCGCTTGTGCGGAGAGTGCTCTAACCACTGAGCTTCAGGACTCCATCAATGACTTAAGGACCTTGAATTGTGCATTGAGGTACTGCTGGAGTTTACCATTGAGAGTCGTCTGGGAACCTTTCCATTGCTTGTCCATCTAAACCACCCTACATGTAAGGGCTTTAGCTTGCAGGGTAACAGGAGCCTGCTCCCAGGGACTTGCCTGCCCTTCTTATTTCTGCCAACATGCCAGGCTGGCTGGTCTGTCATTACTAATGCCGTGGAGCATGTTGCAAGTTTATGAATTTACAATTCAATATTACAATATATGAGATTGCTATTAGCACTACAACTAGTTCAAAATTATTTAATATTACATGATGCAATTGTATGGCTAATGATCAAGATTCAACAGTAACATTGCTGGCTTGCTATGCTTGGATTCTGTTTATATATTATAATAACTCAATCATGAATAATTATGTAGTATTTACCAGAGTTGACATGCATTCATTTATATTTATATTGTGTTAAACAGTCTGTTATTGTTCAATTATGCAGGAGTAATGTGATTAAAACTTTATTTTTGAATAAATAATGAGTCCACAAAGAGTCCATAAAATGCTGCCAAAGGTAAGATCCTTTAGTGGCTATATAGTGATAATAAAGAAAAAAATAAAATTGTTCATTTCAATCCAGGACTGTTTGTGGGACACTGCTGTGTGCAATTGGCTGCTGCATTTCACCCACAAATATATAGTCAATTCACTTTACAGTATATTCTGTGAAGCACTTTGAGACGTGTCGAAGACCTGAAAAGCACTATATCAAATGCAAGGATTATTATTATTATTATTATTATTATTATTATTATTATTATGTTCTGTATGTACAGCTTATTTAAATGCCAGGGCTGAGTTTTTTTTTAAATTGAAATTGCTGGCAAAGATTGTTTTCATCATGGGTTCTTGAAAGTACTTGCTATCAGAATATCTGTGTCCATTTGTTCATATAATGGCCCTCTCTGTAATGTGAATGGTAATGGATAGACTAGGAGGGAAACTTAAATTGGATGTTGTATTACGTAACTTATTCAGATTTGAAAGCTGCTGCTGAAATATTTTAGTTAGTTGTAAGTAGTGAGTATCAATAAAAAGTGATACTCTTTATTGCATAATATAAAGCTGAAGCAAAGCTTTACATTATGCAATAGATATGCAATATAAAGCTTTGCTTCAGCTTTATATTATGCAATAGATACAGAATAACTGAGCAAGAGTGTTGTTCTGTCGTGGAAAGAAAGTAAATACAATCTGAATGGATAAGAAAAAAATAACTGACTTCAATAAATAAGTAAATCCCTTTCAGGCATCCTAAGTCTGTTTCTTGTTCACCTTGCTGCATATAAATTGAATCATTCACTGCTTAATTTAAGTACCTTTTGTAAACTTGTAGGAGACTATGTTTTCCACTGGTATAAAATAACATCAATTGCATATTGCTCTTCACGTCGATATTTATATTTTTCAGCTGCAGAATTCAATTGTGTGCTCTGTCGTTCTATTTTGTTAAGAACCCTTTTCATGTAATGGTCCATCAATAAAACAAAGTGAGACAATTTATACGTTGCATAATCAGGCAATCTTATCCTAAATTGAAATTTGACATTTGAAATAATGTAATGCTGTGTCATAAATTGCAATAATCCTTACAGTTCAGGCTGGGAGGACATTTCAAAGTGTTTCACAGGATAAGTGTAGTGACAGGTGTCATGGTTAGCTGCCTTGCATAATAAGGTTATAGAGCACCAAAATAATACGTCAATGTATTTGTGTTGACAGGCAAAGTAAAGTTAAAATAGAAAAGGAAATATAAAAACCATGTCTTATTGTGGACGTATGAGCATTCAGATATTAATTTGTAACTGATGCTTGCTCTCTGATTAATTTAATATTATTGCCCGTTTTGGACAGTGCATGATTTGGAGCATATACAGCACAACAGCATAATCCTATAATCCTTCAGCACAACAGCATAATCCTATTTTGAGCCCCAAAAGTAAAGCATTTATTCCAGCTAGGTCCAGCTCCTGTGCTATTCCTCTCTCACTCTACATCAATTGTAGCATGCTGCAGAGAAGATAGGGGAACTAGATAAATGAATGTTATGCTCCTTAGCATTTGAGTTCCTTTTTCCTCTCACAAAACATCCTATAACCTCTGGGTCAGGCTTTGGTGCAAACAACTCATTTGAGAATTGGAGTATTGCTGAACATGTGCAAAAGTAAATAATCATAGGAGCCTCTTGGAATGATTAAAGCCAGCACCAGGTAGCTGTGGGGATCTTTCTATAAATAAATAATAGCTATCAACTGAAGGATATTTCACAAGAGAGATTGGGATGAAGTCTTTCAGCCCAATTGTTTCATCTTTTTTGTAAACTATCTCTCTTTGTCTTCCCATTAGATATCAAGCTGCTTCCTAATTTAGTTCAATGTCACGGAAGCCATCATCTTTCCTGACAACCTATTCCAACTGTTATTATGAGCCAAGTGAAGGGAGACTTGCTGGTGTCTGTCGTAAACTTGTCCTTTGATGAAGTTCAAAAAAATCTGGTTTTCAGTGAATTCATCAGAACCAAAACTCCAATGCTCATTTGGTTAGTTTGTAGTCAAAATGGTGGCTTTAAATAGTATATTACATTGGTTCAATGTATGCACATATTGACAAAAAACTTATTTCACAACAAACATTTTACAATTTAATTTGCAATTTACTCCACCGTTAGTGGACCAGTTCAAACAATAAATTTCAATGGATGGTCACCAGAAACAACAAATGACTTTAGGCTCAGTATTTATCATTCATTCTATATGATTCCACCACAACTATGTTCCTGCTTATTTTCCCAAAGTGGTTTCATCTGAAGCTTTTACGCTAGCTGGAAATTCCTAGAGTATAGTGATAATTACAAGGTGCCAATGATAAAATGCTCTGATTTTGCAGCAATATTCTTCCCACCACAAGAGGCTTGACTTGACTTGACTTCTCTGTGATTGTAAATAGAAATGTCTTAATTGGTTTAAGATTTACCAATGTTACTTTGTATTAATTGTCCATAGGGTGCAAGTTGAATTTTACGTGAATGAAAATACTTTCAAGGAACGAATGAAGCTGTTTTTCATCAAAAATCAACGGTCAAGTAAGTATGATTTCTTTGTTACTGAAGTCTGAAAATTTGCCGCAACACTGAGATTCTTGCTCAATAAAGGAGGGTAAGCGTTCCACAATTCACTTAAAAAGAAAACCTTCCAATGAACAAAATATTTTTCTTTTTGTAGATTTTCAGAAGTGTTGAAATTCAGTATATCAGAGACATGGATGCAGTCTTGGGAAGGAACTTTTAAAATATCATTTGAAGTCTAAACTTCTTTCAAGTTGAAAACAAATTATTCTTAATGGAACTAATTGTCTTGTTTGGAATGCTGTTTTTGAACAAAAGGTGGACATTGTTTATTATGTTATAAACAGCTTGGATTTGCATACATTTTTTATTGTAATTTTAAAACAAAATATCCACTAAAATATTCTGTCCAAATATTATTTCTCCACTTTAGTTTTCTGATTCTTACAATTTTGCCTCTGCATGAAAGTACAGCCAAAGACATCTGATAATTTAACTCAATCCATGGCACAATGAGGGAGATGTGGGCAGCCTTAGTTAGTTTTCCCTCTGAATTTTCTTCCCAATCCCTCACGGTGGAAACGAATACACCACTTTGTCCTGGTACTGGACTCGATTAGATTTTACTGAAATTAATGATGATGACAATAATAATAAAAATCCTTACATTTGATATACAGTAGCACTTTTCACATCAGAAAGATGTCTCAAAATACATCACCCCATATTACTGCAGTGTAGTGACCCTGTATTTTGTAGGTAAACTCAGCAGTTTTCCCTTTTTTAATCGTGTAATTAGGGGGTTCATAAGCTACAAGACATACATCATAAGAATCATTGGCATTTATCAACTGAAACCACAGTTCAAGGGAAGAACTTTCATTATTTGCTGTCACTCCTACTCTCTATATGTGCCTCCTTAACTACCTATACCATCTCCCCCTACTCTTGCTTTTCATTGTTCTGACTGATCTACTGCTCATTCTTCATATTCTTTATCCCACCAACAATGGTCAAGCCCCTGACTTCTGTAGCTCTCCCAAAAATCCTTTTGCCTTGTGCCTTCTCTCCCCCCTTAATAATTTATCTTTGAGTGTGCCTTTAAATTCAACACCCTTGAATTCTCCTGACACTCTTGACGGCTCAGTATTGTTTTCTATCATCTCCGCAGCAAAGTAGGAAGTGATCAAAAAGACTGCCTTTTTTTTGCGTAAAGCTGGCCAATGTGCAGGACAGATGTATTCATACATGGGAAATGTGATCCACAGTACAACTGTGTTATAAGTGGATTTGTGCTACAGTGAAGTGTGTTAAAACGGGGCTGCACTGCAGTTTGGTTTAGAGTCTCTTAAGCATGGTATGGGGTTTCCACATGTGTCAGATAACCACCGACCATATTAAAATGCAACTGTGAGGTTAATGTCTACTTGTAGACTGCAATTAATGCAGATTCCAATTAACTAATTGATCAATAATCAACATCCTTTAAATCATTTCAGGTCTAAGGATACGTCTATTCAACTTTTCACTCAAGCTACTGAGTTGCTTGTTGTATATTATTCGTGTATTACTTGATGATCCCAGAGAAAGAAATGGGTGGTAAGTTGAAAAGAAGGTCTTTATTCTAAGCAGGACATTTAATTAAAATACAGAGTTAAAGTTGGAGTTTAAAAACTACCGTGCAGTGTAACATTCAGATAATTAAAGCAGACTTCTGACTCCTACGTAAAATATAAGAAGTTGCTACATCACAAAGATCCTCTGTCACTGATGAAAGATGGTCCCAAGCTTAAGATTTCAGAAATTCATCCAAATATATGAATTGCAAATACTCATCGTGTACTTCCCGCAAACTGTTGTAGAGCAGTGCATCTAAATAGTAATCCTCGTAAAGACAGATATATTTTCTCTAAGGTCTGTATTTTTTCAGTACTATACTTAAGTGCAAACTAACTCATTTTAATCATTTTAATATATCACCAGGTCTCCTATAATTTGGGTAGATAGAAGTCTTCCCTTATGGGGCTTACAGGTAAGAACTGTTCAAGTTAATCAAACTATTGTAATTATCATGAAAAAATATGAAAAAATGAAACAAGGCAGAATGGACTTGATGGATTAAACCACTTTTTTTTGCATTCGACTGTAAGGCTCTCTCTCCATTGTTGAATGGGACTTACTGTCCTGGTTCAAGTATGATGAATGGTCACTTGGATATAGTTGGGAGGCAATGCCCATGTGACAGTAACCCCAGCAAGAGTCAGTGCCTTCAGCAGAAAAGGCGGGTAGAAAGTTAGCAAACATAATAGCAGTCCTATTGGATTCCCTCGCAATTTTTTACATGTTCTCAAAAAATAATAGGCTTGATTGGTGCTATTAAGAGACACATTTTGTGAAACAACAAGAATTTGTTACAGTTTAGGCCCGGGTGCAGCCAATTTCCCGCTCGTGCCCTTACTGCGATCCCAATACTCCCAGTGTTGCTCATGCACGACTGGAGCCACTCTGCCCACGGTTGCAGCGTCGAGCAAACAGCAGGCAGAGGCCCGGGGCATAGCACACTGTGGTTACAGGTTTGTAGCGCTGGAGGGCGTATGTAGCGCTGGAGGGCGTTCGTAGCGGATTCCGTGGAAAAAGTGCAGTCGCAGTTTTCTATTAGCTCAGGCCGTAATGTGCTAAAATCCACTCTGAAACCATGTTGAATTATTGGTAATTTCCCCGGCTTAAATAACATTAACATAACATAACAGTATAAGATAACCCTTTGCGTGAATTTGTATCATTTCAGGTTACTGTGGCCTTGATAAGTTTCTCTGAAACAATGTTGCTGACTTATCTCAGCCTTAAGGTGAGCTTTTTCCATTTTAAATTGTTGCCGGGCAACCCTCTGCACATTCGGGTGTAGCTATCAAATTAGTTTTACTATGCTGGTCACGAAATAAAGGTCAGGAGAATCATAAAATGAATGGGCGTATGATAACACAGTCTTTTCCAGTTTTGCTTCTGTACTGATGGATACACCCACTGTTTCCATTTTACCACTCAGATGATGCAGTTCATTGAGGTCGTTTTGCGTGGGTGGATTGATCATACACAGTGTAAATCCTCTTCGGCTCTGATGTATAAGGTTCAAAAAACAATTGCTCTTCCTGAATAAACCTTCGTCAGTTAGATTGAAGAAGAGTTCGATAATGATTTTAAAAAGGCACTTATGGATAGTACAAGGAAAAAATGCTTGCTGGGCTTTACTTTTTTCTGGCGAGATTATAAAATGAAAAATTATTTTTTTTCAACGAATGAACCAGTAAAACCCATAAATTGTAAATGTGTTTCTTTGGCACGACAGTTTTAACATAATAGGCATCTAATACTGTACTGGATATGCAGGATTATTTCCTATGTGCTCTAGCATAAGAAAATATGCAGTTTGCACAGACAAAAACCCAAATTTGCAAAACTGCTTTTGCAGATGTGTTACTAGTATTATCGCTTTACTGCGTGAACGCATGAACTTTCAGCAGCACACACACATATCCACAGCCTTCTATATTTATAACTTCAGGTCATTTATAATTTAAAATGGCACTAGAGAAGACCCAAGTTCAGTTCCCGGGTGCGGCAAAAGGAAGCAAGTTTCCTTTTTCCATGCGCCTCTATTTACCTAGCAGTAAGTAGGAACCCGGTTGTCAGTCAAATGGCAGATCGCTTTCCGGGGGTAATAATCCCTCCAAAAATAATAATAGTATTTTCTCTCAATCCATGACTGTTTGTGGGACATTGCTGTGTGCAATTGGCTGCACCGGTTTGCCCACAAAATACACAGTCACTATACTTTACAGTATATTCTGTGAAGCACCTTGAGACGTTTCAACGATGTGATAAGGAGCTATATCAAATGCAAGGATTTTTATTAGATTAATTTCTAAGCGCAAAAGGTCAAATTTGTTATATTTACTCAACGAAGCAGAACAGCTTTTACTCTAGAGCAATCCACTCACTGCGTGGAGAAATCATGTCCAGGCAACGACAACAACAACAAAATTACATTTATAAAACACCTTTCACATTGGGAGGTTGTCCCAAGGCGCTGGACAGTCAGGGGTGAGGACACGAGCATGGGGGAGGGGTGGTATAGGGGTGAGGGAAGGCAGAGAGGTGAGAGGGCGACTGAAGGCATGATCAAAGGAGGGTCTTGAGACCGGCCTTGAAGGAGGTAAGGGAGGAAGCGAGGTGAAGGGGCTGTGGGATGGAGTTCCAGAGTGTGGGGGCAGAGAGGCTGAAAGTCCGGCCACCAATGGCAGGTCGGGTCGGGTGCGAGACATGAAGCATCCCGGACGGAGCCTGCTGAATGGAGGGAGCAGACGGGTTGGTAGGGAGTCAGCAGGTCAGAGAGGTAAGAGGGGGCAAGGCCATGGATGGCCTTGAAAGTGAGGACGAGGATTTTGAATTCGATCCTCTGGGGGATAGGAAGCCAGTGGAGTTGGGCGAGGTTGGGAGTGATGGGGTTACGGAGCTTGGTGCGAGAGAGTACACAAGCTTCAGAGTATTGGATGATCTACAGCTTGCAAAGGGAAGAGTTGGGAAGGCCAATGAGGAGGGAATTTCCATAATCGAGCCTTTATGTGACAAGTGGATGGATGAGGGTCTCGACAGTCTGAGGGGTGAGGAAGTGGCGGAGTCTGGCAATGTTGCGGAGGTGGTGGTAGGCAGTGCCGGTCATGGCGCGGACGTGGGGGAGAAAGGACAGTTCAGGGTCAAACAAGTCACCCAGGTTCCTGACTGGCTTAGTGAGGTTGAGTGTGCAGCCATGGACGTTGATGCTGCCAGCGCCCAAGGTGGGGAAGCGCTGGCGGGAGCCAATCCAGAGGGCCTCGATCTTGCTGAAGGCAATGTGGCAAATAGGTCAGGAAGATTCAGAAAATGTTGTAACTTTTTTTTAATCCTCAAATATGGTTAGTAGCTTAATGAGAGGTTAGTCAGTGATACCGCATATTCGGAGCCTGATACAAACCAGCATTGTTATCGAAACACTGTTCTTCCTGAGTCATCGCAACTGTGATTACAAATTGGAATCCTACCCCCAGTGGGACACTATGCACATGTTATTTAAAACAACACCTCCATCGTAAGAATTGGATCTTGTATTTTCTCTCTGTGCTGTGAGACCAGCTCAATGAAATTTAGAATGCTTTAATAAATTTGGAAACTGTTGAGAAGGAAAAAATTAGCAGCAGATTCATGACCAGAATAAAAAGCACTAAATGTTATTCTATCTGCCCTTTGGGAAAACTGTTCACTGTCTTCAAAGCAGGGAACCATACCTACGTCACTTATGTACGAGAAAATGTTTTAAAAGTTTGAACCAAGAATAAAAACCTTTCAGAAATGTGGGGGAGGGGGCGGGAGGAAGAGATGTAATCCGTATCGTCTTGTTTTAGAGGTCAGCGAAAAATGATCTGCACCAACACATCTATATAAAATTATAATCTAATTGCAATGTCATGCATTTGTCAAATAGATTAATGATAAGGTTTGTAATAAAGCAATATGGCTTGAGAGATGCATTGCACAGGCATGACAGGAACTGCTATGATAACAAATTAAAACTAAATTGAATTTCAGCATGTCAACAGCAACAACTTGCACTTATATAGCACCCTCCAAGTAGGGTAGTGTCTCAAAGCGCTTGTCACACAATTATCTTAATCCTTTGTACAGAAGAAAATCTAATAAATCGGGCCACTCTATGAATTCCATTAGTCAATTATATGTTATGTGCAGACAGGGACATCAAAGTAGAATTGCACTCAGTTTTAATTACTTTGACTTTGAATAAACATGAACAGAAATGTAACATGGATTACATTCAAACATAAATTTGTCACAGGTGAAACGAATAGTTTAGATTATTTTTCTCTAAAATGTAAAATAAAAGTTACCTTTTGTCAAAATGCACTTTAATATGTCAAATTGGGGCACACTTGGATAATTTTTAAAAATTCATATTTTTTCTTGAAGTCATTGATGTCACTGACCTTCTACTTATGATCTTTCCTTCTGAAAGGGGAACATCTGGGAACAAATCCTACGAATACCCTTCATCCTAGAAATGATCAACACTGTGCCCTTTATCATCACAGTAAGTCTACTTGTGGTAGCAGAGATTCAGTGGGTGGTCCAGCTGGTTCAGGCCATTTTGCACTGATTGTTATAGCCTCTTTCACTGAAGCCACATCCCCAAAATAGCACACAGTTATTTTAGTAACATTTTGTGTTTTTTAAACCAACGAGAGTCTAAAATTGTGTGTCTGCCACATACGAGTTGTTAGAGTCATGTCAAACTGAGTGAAGACTTCTTTTTTTACACCCACTTTATTTGTGCAACATTTATCTTTATCTTTCAGTTAGACTCACAAGTATCGCCTGCTAAAGTTTTGAAACTTTCATTATAAAATGGAGAATATTCATAGCAAAAAGAGGATACATTTCAGATACAAATACAATTTCATTTAGAATACTTGTCTGATCCAGAGTAAAATGTATTGGGTATGTATCACAGTTCAATTTAACAAAAATACATTCTTTGTATTTCATCCCTTTCTCTCTGGAATTTCATCACTGAATTTCTCCAACCTGTCCCTGATGCAACCCCCCCACCCCAACCAGCTTCAAACCTAAGACTAATCTCTTTGAACGCGCTTTCAGTTTCTGCTTTGGTTTATTAAAGTGGCAAAGGCATCTGTGTACAATTGCTAGAACATTTTGCAGTAAGACCATTTATTCTTAACTTCACTTCCAGTAGACCCTTGCCTGCAGCAACAAGATGAAGACATGGCTCAGAATTGGTCTCACCTTATAGCAGCATACTATGGCAAACTTTTGATTTTGCATTTTGTTTGAAGCTCTTTGAAATATTACATTCAGCCAAACTATTTCTGCTTTCAGATATTTTGGTCTCCGTTAAGGAACCTATTCATTCCAGTGTTTCTGAACTGTTGGCTAGCCAAGCATGCCCTGGAAAATATGATTGTAAGTCTAAAAAACTGTAAAATAATACTTTATACCATTTCAATTGCAGTTTGATTGTTTTTTCGATCAGTATTTAGTCACCACAAGAAGCTTTCAGGGGATTTGTGTTGTTGAACAGTTTCTGTTACCTTTAATAATACTCATCAAGACAAGATGGGAAATGACTTTTGTTGCTTATCTCAACCCAACCTGCATGATCCACGATGAAGCTTTGTTGAAGTGTGTACAAATTTAACAAGGTTCAGAGAAAAGAAGAAATCAGTTGAATCTTAATTGTCCAAATTGGGTAGAATTCAAGTACTATGACTTATTCCAAGCTGAATTAATTTGGGTCCATTTTCGATTTAGAATTCAATTCACTTCTCAACCTTATCTTTTAAAGCTCTTCGGGCATCCTTCAAAAAGTGCATGTGTGGACATCAGTGCAGAGCAGGATCAGCTTCAGCTGCCACATAATCAGATAACCTGCTGACACTCACTGCCTCCTCATATGTGCAGTACAGCCCCAAGGGTGAGATACTGGAGGGCAGTCAGTACCCATGAAATTCATATACCCATTTGAGTAAACATTTCCAGGAGAACAGGAGCAAAGTCCAAAAAAGTACCCTATGTAAATAGAAAAGAAGCCAAGATATGTTTTTTTTTGCTTATTTTTTGTTTTGAACTCTATAATGTTTCAAAGATATTACATTTGCATTTGTTCAGAATGATCTTCACAGAGCTATCCAGCGAACCCAATCTGCAATGTTCAACCAAGTTCTTATTCTTATATCCACATTGCTATGTCTCATATTTACTTGGTAAGTAATTTTGTTTCAGCACTTTTGAAAAAAGATGCTTGTTGCTATATGATTGTAAACTTGATGGTAAACATTTACAGAGATAAGTAAGATAGAAAACAAATGGTTCACTCGCCTGAATTTCTTATAACCATTGCCTCTTTCAAAGATTGATATTGCATTAACAAGTTATTTTTAACACATTTTCACCATTTTTGTCATTAAGTTACAAATAGCTGAATTATGGTCATGTCATTTCCAATCCAAAATGCAGCAAACTAAGATTAAGATGTTTTGGACTGTACCTTTATACAACCTGAAATCTGATGGTGTCAATAAGTACTGCTCAATTTATGTGTTAACTTTGAAATCTATCTTCAAATGTCTTGAGAATTAGCAATTTATTGAACATGAATGCTATGGACTGAACGATCATTGGGAACTGAAAACTGTGCTAAGTAACATGTGCTGTACTAATGAGAGCTCCTTTTTAATATTAAAATGTTTGCATTCCCATTATCGTGACGCTATTGAAATGTCAGTAAAGTGTAGTGACTGTGTGGTTGAAAGCGAACAAACGTATCCTTCACGAGAAAATGTATACGTTTTTGAAGTAGCATGTTGATATATTTCGGTATGTACCCATTGCATACCCCACCTTCTGCTGAAAACGTAGCTATGTCACTCTGGGGAAGGATCCTGAAAATGCTTTTCCCCAAATTCTACTGATCTTGAATTGGGTTGGACTGGTGCATCTCTAAGCGGATGGCTCCAGAGTGACGTTGATAGAAAATGACTGGGTGATCACTTGATTTACCAAATACCTTTGAAAGAATACTAGGGAAACCAAGAAAAAAACAATAGGATAGAAACAACTGTTTGACTACCAATTGAGCCAGGCTGATACATATACTGACTTAGGAATTTTAAGTTCTTGAACACACGTTTGCTTTAAATTATGCTTAATAGCTGTAATGTTATCCCTAAATGATACAGATTTGCACACGTAATAACGTAATCATAATTTCCAGTTTATGGAAAGCATCTGTGTATTCACAATTATCATTGGTAATGCCTGTTTTACCACAAGCATATCTGTTTTTTAAAATTGAAACTAACTTTTTTATAAAAATAATATAATAATATTCTAACTTTCTTTCATGATTGAGTTGATAATTACAGCCCCCAACACTCATTTAAGTGAAATAATTATACACTAGATATTTGCTAAGTGTTTTTAACTCATAAACAGGTGAATAAAAAGTAAACTAGGCGTTTAGCCATAAATAATGGTCTGTTACTTTTCATTAAGTAAAGCACTCACATGTTAATAAATCAGAAGCAATTCAGAAAGCAATATCAATTTTCTCTCTTTTAGAGACACAATTAAGCAAAAATAGTACCTACGTGTTCTACAGGAAAACATAAGGATATATTAATGATACTATTTCCTCCTTGTTTACTTGTCTGCTAGTGGAGAACTTGTAGTGACTACCATTAAAATGTCTTTTTTCTGGGAGGTGCTGAAGATTATTTTATTATGCTGAACAGATAAACAGAAAGTACTGATGGTTATGGATGAAGAAACATTACCGACTCAACCTATGGGCAACATCTGTGTAGAGTAATTAGAAATGCAAGCGTTTAATTGAATTTGCCTGACAGTTAATGGCCTTCATGGTTGGTTCATCAAAAGTACTGGAAACCCTTTTATCTGACATTTTACACCTGTCTCAGCAATTGAAAACTGCTGTCCAAATACAGTGCTGTTTCCAGATATTATATAAACAGCTGGAAAACCATCTCTCCTTATTGCTTGGGTGTGCTTCTTTACATACAACAATGTAACATTTAGAAGTGATTATTTTCTATGGTTTTAATAAAGAGTTCAGAGATTTATCTTATAAATAATAATCCAAGTGTTAAATTTAATGTAATGTTCTTTCCAAGCTATTCAGAGGCGTACATTTTACATGCTAAATATCTACATTTATTGCTATTACTGTCACAACAGAGAATACAACAATCATTTATTATTAAACTGGACAGGTTTCAGAAAAATTGGAAAGTTTTATTAGTAAGAATATCAATATGTATGAGTTATTAGACTATTTTCCATGTGTTCCTAAATTGTTGTGTTTAAAAGGATATAATATTTGCCTATGAATAATCTTTATTACAAGCAATATCCTTCGAGTCTCTATGGCAAACTAGATTATGCTGAAACACGAATAAAGATCTGCCGGATTTTCATCACTGTTTTATATCACACTTGGAATTGTTATTACTTTAGATCACAATTTGCATAGACACAACAATTTTGTAAAATTAGGAAAAAAACAGATTTTGTTGTCTCCTTTAGTTTCTTGTCATTCCTTCTTTCTTACTATACAACACAATGATTCACAAAGTTTCCAGGACCTGAGGACCTCCCTCAACCCCACCACTTTGCTCACTCCTTCCTCATTTTCAGATCATGCCTTAAGACCTTGTCTAAGGTCACTTTTCCCCCAGACTCGGCCACTGTTTAGTGCTCCGAGATGCCTAAGCCGTACATCCACCCAAGGCCCATTCAATTTCCTATTAAATTCACTTAAATGTATATGTGCTAGTCGTATTAACCAATCTGTAACTCGCTACCACACTTGCCGCTACCAAACTTACCGTCTGCCAGGTCAAAGCTTTGTTTCCCGGTCCTGCAACAAGCAGAACACCGCACATGTGCACCCCAACCCTCTCCGTAAGGGAAGATGAGCAAACAGGTCTGACCAAACCAGTTTATTTTTTTGAAGATCTATATTTTCAGAAAGAGTGAAGCGAAGAAAACTATCGAATGTGTACAGCTCTTTGACTATGAATTGAAATGTAATTGTTTGTTTGGTATTTGTTTTTACAAATGCAAATACGGTTGCATCTTGTAAGCTGTATTATGGGTATTTTATGGGTACTGGAGCTTAGTATACCATATATGTTGGAATCTGTATATGGATATACTAAGTGCCAAGGTAGGATTTATCTTAAATTAGTGTCAAATATTTTATTGCTGTAAATTAATTCACATTTGAAGAGGTTTAAAATCCTTTGTTGCAGTGTGATACTGAGCTATTGCTGAGTGCAAATACACATGTTGGTACTTAACCAAGCACTTTAGACAAGAGATGCAGGTAACGTTGGACAGCAGAGTACCGATTATACAGTAATGTCTTAACACAATTCCAAAATAATTGTTAATGAATAACCATCAGACACTCTACTAACTGTTTGGCGAAATAAATTAATATATTAGAGCAATGTTTTAGTGTGGAAATAGGTAGAAATAGATGCTTCAGCATTCAATTACTCATGTGGACAAGGAAATTAAGTGCTTAACATTTTTATTACTTTTAATTTAATGAAAGATGTCCATCCAACATATATAATGTTATATATTTGTATATTTTGTATAAATTTAATTTGTTTATTAGCCATCAATTTGTTTAAAGCATTGCCAACCTATTAGGGACTCCAAAAGAAATTGTATTATTTTTATGAATTTGAGTTTTGCTAATCTGATAGCCATAATAGTGGGAACACATTTGGTTAGAACAAGACCTTGTACTTAAAGCATTTGGATTGTTGTTCCACTATTATCCTTGAGGCCACTTGAACTTTAGGCACATGCTGTGATACGAATTACAATAAATTTGCCAGTATTTCAGCAACTACAAGGTTTGCTTATGAATTAAATGTTGGCATTAGATTTTGTTTCATAATATAATAATCCTTGCATTTGATATAGCGCCTTATCATGTCTTTGAGGCATCTCAAAGTGCTTCAAGGAATATACTGTAAAGCGAATTGTCTATTTTATGGGCGAAACATGGCAGCCAACTGCATATAGCAGTGTCCCACAAACAGTCATGGATTGAGTGACCAAATTATTATTTTTTTAACATTTATTTATTGTTTTGAAGTGATTATTACTCCCAGAAAAATGATCTGCCAATTAACTATCAACCGGGTTCCTGTTTACTGCTAGGTAAACATAGGTGTGTGAAGCAGGGAAACTTGCCCAACATTTTGCCCATCCCGGGAATCAAACTCAGGCCCTCTTGCTTGCAAGGCTCTATAAGAAAGAATGTGGAATTAAAGAAAGGTTCTTTCTGCTCTTGGAACACTTTTCCAGTACACATTATATTTTGATTTCCCCAAAGCTGCAAATTCTCTGCAAATCCAGTTATTGCAGAAAATACACTACTGCAAAAATATGGCACATGCACTACTTTTGCATTTTTAATTAGATCCCAATCCATGTTTATTTGTACGTATTCTCATTTCTGGTGAAATGTCTTATACTTTGCCTGTTTGTACAACTTGATGTGGGGAAACATCACCTGAATGACAGCCAATAATCTGTTAGGAATGCTTTTTAATAAAAGATTTTTGTATTCATTAACTATTGAGTGTAACCTTTGCAGCTTATTGATGTCGTAACCAGTTTTGCATGTTGCCACATCAATAAGCTATTCTTACTTTACAGAAAACAATTTGCATTTTGTGGTAAAGCAATATAAATGCCATGAAGGTTAAGCCAATATTATCTTTTGCCTGCACAGTACTGATTAAACTGTTAATTTGAAAGCAATGCTAATACTTTGCTACAGGCAAGAGCTTCTTGTTTACACAAAAAGGAATGAAGTTTCTGTTTAAGACCAAAACGGAATGCCTCATGCCTAATTGTCAATGTAATTTAGCAGTATAAATCAAAACAACTTTATTCATCATAGTAAATCACAATTAAAGTCCACTTTATTTGTTTTCCATCATGACAAACTTGCTCATGTGCCTCATTTCATGGTAGCAAGTAATGGGCAGGCTCTTTGACCATAGGAAAACCTAGTCTAATGCAGTCTTCATCCAACGTTCGCATGCTTCCCCCCTTCTCTTTCTCTCTCCCTTACTCAATCAAACACACACAGATTCTTACACACAGTCAGAGAAGCAAATCCTGGATAGCAATCAGGAGTAGGAAAATTACAGATTGTGTTTCTCCCAAATTGAAGGAGGTGCTGAGGATAATTGTGCAGTCCTGATCACTTAGCCCACCTGAAATAAATTAACTCATTGCAGCCAAAAAATAAACCACCACCTTTGGTTTTCAAGGTTCCATACCTTACAGATCTGTTCTACCCTTTAATCCACAGAGGAGCTGTATCAAATTGAGCTATTATTGTCTGTACAAATACCAATTTTATTGTGAGAAATTTCCTATGGTCAAATATTGTCAGTATCTCCTTCTTGACTCTTTTTACTCCTTACTGCAAGCAGCGTAGAACATTGTGTGTATTGACATTTGTTACAATACATTATGAAGGGGCAGGTTTGAAGATGGACTATGAGGTTCTGATTGAATGTTTTAATTGCGTACAGAAATGTCCCACAATCAGACATGGATTGGTCATTCAATTCATGACTGTTTGTGGTACATTGCTGTGTGCAAGTGGCTACCACGTTTCGCCCACAAAATATAGAGTGAATTCGTTTTATAGTATATGCTGTGAAGCGCTTTGAGACGTCTTGAAGATGTGATAAGGCGCTAGATTGAATGCAAGGATTATTAATTTGCAGCTGCAGGTAAATTTAGGGCAATAGATTGCAAGAGTTGTTGATTTTATTGCTTGAGCAGAATAACAGCTCCTACTTTCCAGGACTGAAGGATTTTGAATCAAGAAAAACCACTTCCCCAAAAACGAAAAAGTTGTTCTCTCCTCATTCATCTCTCTCATTTAGGTCAATTATTGAAGTGCTTGNTTTTTACTGGAGCATGGCAAACGTTGTTCTTGGTTCACCTTTGCACTAGTCCTTAGTACATTGTACACTAACAAATGGCTTAGGTTCAAGGTAACTTTGATCTATTGATTTTTAAACAGTGCCGTAAGGTTTTGTGTAGAGTTCTTTCAGGGTCTGGAAATAGAGCTTGGCACTATAGTGGTTGAAATAGAAATGGTTGAAGTAAACAGGCCAAACTTTTTCAAGGTTGTTAGTAAAATGGGTTGAGTGAATACAGTAAAACACGCATAAGTTTTATCTTTATAAATCCTACAATTGCCTTGGTCGTACATGCACCCAAGACCCATTCAGTTTCCTATTAAATCTATTTAGATTCATTTGCATCAGTTTTATTAATCATCTCCTCACTTACCAGCTGCATTAAATCACGGAAAATGACATTCTGATCCATTGATGCATGTGGACTTACCAACCGGTGCATTGAATCGCAGGAAACATAGTCTTGATCTATTACTGCACTTACCAGCTGCAGTGATGAAGTACCTTATGCGCACTTCCCGGTTGCATTGAATTTTACACAATTAATCAAGTTTGCCTGTAGCTCAGACTTTGCGGAAGCTATATTAAATATTATGGTCCCGACTGATACGACTTGTGAGTTTTACAGTATTACATTCCACTTGCTTCTCTTTTCGAATAACGCGACGGGAAATTAAACATGCACCTGGCAGATGACATCTCATCCAAACTCTAACACCTCCAACAATGCAGTACAGCCACTCAACTATTTGGAGTGTCAGCCTTGACTATGTGAGTTCAAAGTCTCGACATTGCACACCCATCTGCCTCAGAGGCAAAAGGGCTACCAACTGAGCCAGAACAATGACTCAGATGGTTATTCTTTTAGGTTGTATTGTCACAGAACTTGTTGTTCTTAATTATTTTAATTCTTCAATGCTCTTTTGAATTTGAAGCATCTGTGGGATCCAGCATTTGGAAAGATCAGGGAATAACCTGACCCTGTTTGATTCCCTCTACTTCTGCATTGTCACATTCTCCACTGTTGGGTTTGGAGATGTCACACCCAAGATCTGGCCGTCAAAGTTATTGGTTGTCATCATGATCTGTGTTGCCCTTGTCGTGTTGCCTATACAGGTAAGATGTGCAATCTAAGATTTAAATACAATGTGTTGGCTTGTCAATTGATATTTGTAACTTGTGTATTACTTGAAGAATCAGTTAAAATCATTTTTCATGTGCAGTAACTGTGCAAACATTTAATTTCTGGTACAAAGTTCATATGGCTAAATATTAATTTTTAGGTATTGCTTCTTTCAAAGATTCCAAATGATGTATATTAGCAACTTTCCCAACAATTAAGTTTTGCCTAGAGACACATTAAAGGAGTTAATCAATCCAGCCACACTGTGTATATTGAGAATCTGTGTGCTGTGGTGGCTATCCTGTATCATTCTTCATCATTGACTGATATTTACCAAATCCCTGGAAGCCTGGAAGTCTGAATATCATCAGAGAAAGATTCTAAGTGTTTCTATTTGATCAAATGGCCTTCATCTTTGAGTACCAGATGTTTTATGGGCTCCAATTCAATCTGTTTTGTACTTCTGGCTGCATACCCTCACACTTGAATAGATGCAGCTGAAACTCACAACATCCTTAGGATACATTAAAAGCAGCTGTGAATTGAACTACCGAAAGATTCCCAGCTGTTCATATTACAATATATGGCTGCTAATAGTAGCCGAGTGCAAGTGATTCCTGTAAAATTATTGAGCAAGCTCCATAAGTTGCTTTAATTTTATAGGACAAAAGAAACCAAATAGTGGAATGTTTTAACCAATTAATATTTAGGAAAAGCTGTGCCAAACAAAACCTGCCCTTTCCTTTGTTGTAGTCTAATCTTTCCTAGTCTTTTCTATCCCTCTTGCTGCATTCGTTTTTCGGTTCGCTTGCTGCAGTATTAACATAAGAGATTCCCATTTGGCTCATCAAGCCTGTTCCTTCTTTCGACAGCACCAGGGCTATTGCACTGTGGAATAGAAGGAAATGATCAGAACATTTATTTCAATTAATTATATAGCGAATGACTGATGCTTTGATTTAGCACATTGTTTAGTCACCTCTGGTACCTGGAGATGAATCCAGTGCAGGTTGAAATGGTTTTGAACAGTTTCAAGCCCGTTCCTTTTAATTTACAGTAGAAAGTAACCCTAATTTGGTATTGTTTAGCACTACATTGAGAAACTCATTCAGAGATGGCTGTTGGTATGAAAATTAGTAATGTCACTTTAGGGCCATGGAGTCAGTTGCGAAATAACATTGCTAGGACCGAGTAGAGTTAACATTATTTTGCATCAAACCTATGTTATAACTGACATTCATTCTGAGTGCTTCATTCTGGCACTATATTCATCAAGTAGAAAAGTATTCTATTCTTCAGAGCTAACTTGTTAAAAGCTATAACAACTCATAAAAAAGAACACAGCCTGACAATCTGGACTTGAGTATTCTTTTATTGTCGAGATTTATACTGTTCAGATTCTTTTCATGCTAATGATGTCTTGTGATCCTTTCCCTGGTATAGTTTGAACAATTGGCCTACTTATGGATGGAGAGACAGAAATCGGGAGGAAACTACAGTCGCCACAGAGCTCAGACAGAGAAACATGTTGTGTTGTGCGTCACGTCTTTGAAGATTGACCTGCTCATGGATTTTTTGAATGAATTCTACGCTCATCCTAGACTGCAGGTTATAAACAGAGAGCTCTTATTAACTTTTTCTTGGAAAGTGAATTTGCATTTCATGAAACAAGAAGATAATCTGGAACATTTTAAATATTTAATTTGGTAAACTGTTTTAAAAAAAATTAATTTTCTCTAAATCATTGAGGAATAATAGCCAAGCAGTGTGCTGATCCGTTGTATTAAATCAGCAGAATCTAAATCGATGTCTGTAAGTTAGAATATCCATCCAATAGGTTCTCAATTGTGTGGATGATTGTCTGTGCATGAAATAATCTGATATAGACAACATGCCATATTGTGTTTATACTAATGTAATGTATAATGTCTTGTAGGACTACTATGTGGTAATTCTTTGTCCTACTGAAATGGATGTGCAAGTTCGGAGAGTGTTGCAGATTCCAATGTGGTCCCAAAGAGTAATTTATCTCCAGGGTTCAGCATTGAAAGACCAAGATCTCTTGAGAGCCAAGTATATATCTAGACTTTTTCCACCATATTATGATAATGGTCTGTGTTTTTGTCTCCATAAAAATACTCTATATATATATATATATGTATGTACACAGCAAGTTTTGAAAACTATAGTTGACTACTAAAGTATACATTTGTGCGCAATTGGCTGCCGTGTTTCTCCCACAAAATATACAGCGAATTCACTTACAGTATTTTCTGTGAATAACGTTGAGAGTCTCAATTAAGTGATAAAGTGCTACATCAGATGCTATTACTATTATTTTAATGAATGCAGACACAATTTTTAATAAGATGCTTTCTCTGCAAAGCACAAAATTTGTAGCCAATGCTCCTTTTTGTCAATTGGCAAACAGTGAGAACAGAAGATAATGAATATATATTCTTTTTCATGTATAAGTTGATTGCTTCCTTGAAATGAGGCTGGTTGCAATCCTCCCAAAAACATAACATTAAAAATTAGTTTGTGCTTCAGCATAAAGTGTTTGAAATTGCTGCCAGTATTTAATGAATTTAAAAATAAATAGCGCCACTAGATATTCAATTTTCATTTGTAAACAAGGTTATTAAACTTCTCAAATATAATCAAAGGACGAAACCTTGGGCAAGTTTCCTTACTCCACATGTTTCTGTTTACCTAGCAGTAAGTAGAAGCCCAGTTGTTAGTTGACTGGCAGATCACATTTCCGGGGGTAATAATTCCTTAAAAAAAATAACAAATTAGTCACTTCAAGACTGTTTGTGGGACACTGTTGTGCGCAATTGGCTTCTGCATTTCGCCCACAAATTGTAATCAATTCACTTTATGGTATATTCTGTGAAGCGCTTTGAGAAGTCTCGAAGACGTGATAAGGTGCTATATCAAATGCAAGGATTATTATGATTATTTACCGATTTGAAATAACTTCTACCTCCATCAGAAGCAACTATAGAAACCCTCGATTTAGAAATGTTTATGCTCATTTTTTAATGATTTATGTGACATAGTGCGCTTAAAAATGTTCAAAAGGCTTTTGAGTTCTTCCCCAGAAGGGAAATGGCCAATGAGAACATCTCTAAATAAATGGTTTACTTCATGCCTTTATTGAATGAAAAACTGTAGTAACTCTTTCACACGATAAAACAACACTGCACTGAGTTACTAAAGTAAATGTTCAGTTCCCCCTCAAAAACTGTAGAGTATTGGCCAGTAGTAGTTTTGAGAATTATGTCCTTGTTGTGCATAGTGAGGGTTCTTTCTTGGGTGAGATGCACAAAGTAATGCTTAACAGCGTGGCAGCAATATTCTTTTAGAGAAGAACGGGAACAAACCGGACAGTCTGATTGCTACTCATTTTGTCTTAAGTGAATTTCCCGCACCAAGACAAGAAACCTAGTTTACTTCATACTGAGTCTTACACGGCATTAAGGATTGCACATAGGTATATTTAAAGATGACAGGAAAAAACAAATTGCTCCACACAGAGCAGAAGTAGCAGCTAGGCTACTCTTAATTATTTTTAATGAAGTGTGTTTTTGTTAACCTAGATATTGTGTTATCTTGTACATTGTGGAAATTGGTTTCCAATTAAGTAGTAAAAAAAATTCCTAACTTTTGAAAATTAACTTTGTGCTGCTAAATCAAACTAATATTTAAACATTTTTCAACTCTTTGTAGGTATGTACCATAATATTCTTATACCATCAGAATAATAATCCTTTCATTTGATATAGCGCCTTATCACGTCTTCTAGACATGTCAAAGCCTTTCACAGAAAATACTGTAAAGTGAATTGACTGTATGTTTTACATAAGTCATCTACATGATATTAACAACTAGACCAGTTGTTAATATCATGTGGATAACCTATGTAAAAACATTATTTATGGGAATATTTGTATTTTTCACTTCAGCTTTCTATGATTTCTTCTTCCATCTAAATTAGTCAAATAATAATTATACACAAATTACTGAGCATATTAATAATTGTCAAGTATTGTTTTCTTCCCATTTCCAACCAATGCCCTTAAATCCTGCTTTCCTTTACAACTGGACCTTCGGATGATTTGATTCAGAATGGACAATGCTGAGGCCTGCTTTATTCTTAGTAGCCGGTGCGAACCCGACAGGACAGCTGCTGTAAGTTGCATTGATACAACTGAAATTTATGAATGATTTGTGTATCTCTGACATGAAAGGGGGCATCTGGATAAAAATAATCTACTTGGAGCACAAAATAAGGTTAATTCACCAAATGTCTTTTTCTGATCACTGCTTTTCTCCAAATAGTTGTTCAATGGAAAATTGCAATGAAAGAAACACATTGCAATCCAATGGAACATTTTAAATACATCTTACAATCTGGACTACCAAGTTTTTTGTGTGGATTGCAAGATACTTGTAAGGCAATCAGACATTTGATATAATAATAATAATCCTTGCATTTGATATAGCGAAATAATGTCTTGAATGCATTTCTTAGAGCTTTCTGTAAAGTGTAGCACACCTGTGCATTTGTAGTCAAACGTGCACAGTGATGTCCCACAAATAACTATGAAATGATCAATTTTTTTTAACTGGAAGAATTTTTGTCCAGGGCATCAGGAAAACTCCATTCTCTTTTCTATGAGCATTATCATATATTTAATGTACTTGAACAGGCAGACAGGACCTCGGTTTAATGTCTCATCTGAAGGACAATGCAGTGGCCCTCCAGCACTGAATTAGAGAATCAGCTATGAGTTCCAAGTCTTCAAATGTGACTATCTAATGTCATTAAACATATGGGGCCTTTCATTGCAGTTTGAAGCGCATTAGCGCTAGTGTTACAGAGAAAACTGGACCCATGATAGACGAGAGGGCAATCTGCCAAATTTTGATATAACAACATGGTTTCTCTTCCTGCAGTGTAAATGGTAGATGGTCAGGGAGATTTTTTTTACATCTTCTGGAAGTTTAATGATAGGATTTAAATTGAAACAATCCATTTATATCTGTCATGATACTGTTAGATGCTAAGTAATGGAATGCGTGTCTAGATGTGAACCCTTTGTAAGTAGAAGCAGTTTGACTGTTTCTCTTTTTAATTAGCAAATTTGGTAAATGAATGTCTTATGACACTTACTGAGATTCTTTCATTTTAAGTAGTTCAGTATCATGCGAGCTAACAAAAGCTCTTCAATTTGAACACTTGCATCTTTATTTCCCAATGGAAAATCAAGATGTTTTATTGTTTTCTCAGTAATTCCCATCTTGTCATTTATATTCATATGGAGGGGCAACTTTTCAAAAATATTATACTCCATAAAAACTGAAATTGATTTTATTCATGAGTTGAGGATTGGGAAACAGTCTAACTCTCAACTGATAATTTGTTCCTGTTTACTGTATAGTTGGGAAATCTCATTGGAATGCATGCATTGCATTCTGAAATGCAACTTAAGTATAATAGTGATCTGTTTATTGATAATTTGTTTTTAGTTATTCATAATTTGACATACTATTGAGCAAAATGGATCATAGGTATTCATTGCAGGAGGACACATCAGTTTCTTATAATTTAGTTGTTGAGTAAACAATTGCGAGAGAGGCCCATGTAATTGAGATCCATCCTGCTTAAACATTGCAAGTGTGAATCGTGATACAGGTGTTGGGAATCTGGCTGCTGTGTAACTTGTGCTACCTCTACCCTTGTTTATACAGAATGCCCTTTGCAAGTTAGGTTGATTCTATCATGCAGTTTAAACGCAGCATTTGTGTCTAGATCATTTGTTCATATTGTGTCGTTCAAGGAACTATTTTTTCAGTTTTATAAATTAGAACAAGGTCTTCCTGTAACTTACCACAGTGGTGCTACAATTTATGGGATTTGTAATGTGTTTCTTTTTCTTTGGACTAAATGGTATCATTGACTGAACTATACAGTATTAGTTTCAAAATGGAGAAACAACTTACATTTATACAACGTCTTTTAAGTAAACAAAACACTTTGCAAATTCAGATTAGTCAACAATTAAGGGAATGTTATGTAGGCAATTGAGGCAGTGCATTTGTATCAGCAACGTCCTACAAACAACGAGATAAGAAGCCAATTAAATTGGAAGTTCTGGGGATAAATTTGAAAGAAGGAGGAATAAAGCTAATACTACTGAGAGAAATTCCACGCACAAAATAATGGCAGGGTCCTTTGTTGATATTCAGATGTCAGCATCTGATCCACACAATTTATTGTACAAAAGCACATTTTATCTTTGCATTTTTGACAGGATCACCAAACTATCCTAAGGGCATGGGCTGTCAAGGACTTCGCACCAAAGTGCCCACTCTATGTACAGATTTTGAAGCCTGAGAATAAATTTCATGTCAAATTTGCAGGTAACCCCCTTTCAAAATTGCTGAACAGTATATTTTGCCAATTTCGTGGCATATTCACTCTTGTCAGTTCAGTTCAATATTCTTATTCGGCAAAACTTTTTGTTTGACCTTTTCACTAGTAGAAACAATAAGTTGAGTCCATTTTTGTCATTGGTCTTTACTATAGAACATGTCAGTTTTATGTTATAAAAGTATTCTTCATTACAATGTGACATATATAGCCATTTAGCCATTTTCTCATTAAGAAAATTAGATCAGAAAGTGCAGTAGCAAAATATGCAGTGATTGTGCAGTTTGTACAGCATGTATGCAAACAGGAACAGGAAGCTATTCAGCCCATTGAGCTTGTTCCACCATATGGGCAAGTAAAACATAGAATATATCAAATGATTTGTAAGATCAATAGAAAAAATCCTAATGAAGGGAAATGGAAGAGTGTGGCTTGGGATTTCAATAAATTATCTTTATGAATTTTTATTCCTGAAGATTTCAGTAACCCTCCTGAGCCCTTAATCAAGTTATTGAGGTGCTACATATGTATGTAACAAAATTACCGATTGGAAAATAAATTGTTACTAAGAAACTCAAGGAACTGAAGTTCCTTCAGGACAGTTCCGGGTTACCATGAATGATAATCACAAGATCACAACATGGATTTACAAATAGAGGGTCCTTCGGCCATTTTATTTCATCCTTCTAGAAATTAGTACTAGAAGTCTCCAGGATTTATTAGCAAAGCTATATCGTAGAATCATAAAATTATACAGCACAGAAGGAGGCCATTCGGCCCACCGTGTCTGTGCTGGCTCTTTGCAAAGAGCTATCCAAATTAATCCCATTCCCCCGCTCTCCCCCCACAGCCCTGCAAACTTGCCCTCCCCAATACAATATACAATAATATCTTGAGTTTTAAGATAGTGAGAGCAGATAGGATTCACAAAAATGAACTTATGGCTTCTAAATTAATTGAATTTTCTTAACATCTAACATAGTGCCAGAATGCAATGAAAGTTGTGGTGAGATGAAAACTGAAAATCTTTCAAGTAATGCCTTTTCAAGTTCTGAAAATGTCTCATATGCAGGTATTAGGCTGGCTCAGTTGAGAGCACTCTTGCCTCTGAGATAGAAGGTTGTGGTTTCAAGTGTAGATATGGACTGATATTCCTCTGTAATGCTGGGGGGGCTGCTGTATTGACTAAGGTGCCATCCTTCAGCTGAAACAACAATAAAAGCTCATTTCAAGTCAAAAGGAAGTCCCAAAGTTAAAACAAAAGTCGAGTCAATTTGTTCAGGTGGACATTAAAGATGCCATGGCACTATTCAAAAAGAGAATTTGTTGGCCTAGACTATACAGGTTTAACAGGCAAGATTGCTATCAACTGAGCCAGGCTAATACTTAATGTCAAGATAGAACAGGTTTGACAGACTGAATGGCCTCCTGTTTCTATGACAGCTCAGCTCAAATTGCAAGTCACTATCAGGAGAAATCAGTCTTTAGCCAGTCTATGCTACAGCACAATAATTAAATGTAGTCCGGGCCAATGAGGATATTTTCCTTTACGCATTATTTTCTTTCCAGCACAACAGGGTCCTGTTGCAGCTAATCAAATTTTTTTTTGTGTATGCAGTGATGATCCAAATGTACTGCTGCGAGGGCGTTGTTTCATTATGCAGTAAATTTTCACAGTGGTGGCCAACCTCCTTGGTTGCCCAACAAAATAAACGTTTCTTGATTTATGGCATAAATCTATGCTGTTTTGGTAGTTTTTTACAATTATTCTGTTGCTTTAGTATGTTGGTACATTCTTTCGGTCAGCCCATGATTTTGTATACACCAAATTTTGTTGCCTTTGTTTAGATCATGCCGTTTGTGAGGAAGAGTTCAAATATGCTATGCTTGCCTTAAATTGTATTTGTCCAGCCACTTCGACACTGATTACCTTGCTTGTTCATACTTCCAGAGGACAGTAAGTGCTTCAGTTTAAAACATATTAGTAGAATATTTATCCTAAGTTAAATGCAGTATATACTATCTCATGAGGATGAATTATAAAACATGCCAGGTTTGATACCAGGATCTGTGCTAATTTAACCAATCTATCCAGTGTAACATTACTTTGCAACTAAAAATGTTTAAAATAGATTTTAAAAGCATGCGTGTTCCTGAACTATTTCACTTCATGTTACTAAAATATATTTTAGTTCAGATGACAACAACAAATTTGTATTGATGGATTCTGTATGATTATTTTCAGATCAGGACCATGGGAGGCATTTAGACAACTAACTGGAACCAAGCAGATTATAACAAGGTGAAACTCAAAAGTAGACAGGATCTCCAATATTCAAATCTTTCTGTTGCCCTGTATTTCATCACAGCAAAGTTAGGCGTCAGGCTATACCATATTTTATATCTTAAACCAAAGAGCATGCAACATTTACCTTTTATAGGTTTCCAATGGTAATTGCAATCCATGCAATATGATCAGTTATGGTACGTATAGAGAGCAACAGTACATTATTAAATATTAGTAAAATATTCTTCCTGCCATTTTTTTAACATTCTAAGTACATGGAGTGGCTTAACCACTGCTATTTCTGTGCACTCTTTCTTCTTCCCCCTCCCCCAAGTTATGGGAAGCTTAGCAGAAGGACAACATTCATCAACAACAACAACTTGCATTTATATAGCACCCCTCATGCAGGATACCATCCCAGAACGCTTAATAGTGTGATACACACATACAGAATGGATGACGCTGAGCTGGGAGGAGATGACCTTGGGCACGGTCGAAGAAGAAAGTCTTCAGGAGCGACCTGAAGATGGGGAAGGAAGGGCAAGGTGGAGAGATAGTGTTTTGGGGCATAGTGGCTGAAAGCGCGAGACATAGTGGAGCTAGACACTGCTTTGAACATTTAATTTTACAGTTTAAGAGTTGATAACACAATAGTAAGACTACCCTGTTGCTTTATTACCGCAATATCTGTGGGAGCACAGGTTAGTGTATGGGGTGTAGATATGCAAAACCAGTTGGTCGTAGATACACTGACAGTTTAATGGTTATAATCAATGTAGACATGGTAATGTTTCCTACGATACTGTGTTTGAAAGCAGATAAACTTGTGTATTCTTAGAGATGCACTGCATATTTCCACCAGCTGATAAAATAATAATTTAATGTTGAACGTAAGGATTCTTAGCTGTTCTCACCTTTTGTTGATAATGCTGTTTTTTCAGGGATGGCCCGCAGTCTCCTGGACAGTGGCAAAAGTTGTACGGCAAGTGCTCTGGCAACGAAGTCTACCACATTAAAGTGGAAGAAAGTACATTCTTTGCAGAGTATGAGGGGAAGAGTTTTACCTACACCTCATTTCACGCACATAAAAAGTGAGAATTTTAAACCCCATCACTGACATTTCAGACTATTTGCTTTGGATAATGCGAGAACTCACAGAATAACTGTAGAGATTAAGTAAATGATATACAATATTTCAGTTTATAATCAGCACTTACTCAAGTAGCAAATATAGCTTAAACCACAGTTTTATGATATCACACTTTTGTGATCAACTTCAACCTTAATATTAGAAATAATAATTCTTACATTTAATATAGGTCCTTTTACATCAGGAGGACATCTCAAAGCTCTTCACAGGATTTACTGCAGCATGTAGTGACTGTGCATCATTGTTTGCTACATATGTCCAAGTTTAATCTTTGACTCAATTGTTTCATAGAGTATTTAATGACACAACCACTTGTGCAATCCAAAAGGATATACAATGCTAAACTTTTTCAGATTCTCAATTTAGGTTATATATTAAATCCAACAATCTGTTCAACCTCTATTCATGATTCTTTTTCTTCCTTTTTAGGTATGGAGCTTGTCTTATTGGTGTAAAGAGAGAAGAAAACAAAAATATTTTACTGAATCCAGGCCCTCGCTATATTATAAGTTCGACAGACACTTGCTTTTATATCAATATTGTCAAGGAGGAAAACTCAGCTTTCAAAACACACAATGAACAAAATATAAATAGTATTTCAAATACAACCTACCATGGAGCTTCAAGATTGCCTGTTCACAGTATCATTGCAAGCATGGGTAAGTGCAAATATCATAGCGTGTCATTGTTGATTCCCTAGTGTGCATAAGAACAAGATTTGAATCTTTGATGATTCATAAGTACAATTGTATTTTTCTGTCGCACAGTGCATTACATGATCAGAGCGAGAAATTGTCATGCATTAAGGAGAAGTAGTTAGCAGTTAAGGGGTAGAATGGTTAATGGGACATTGTGGTTTTTAATGATTATAGAGTACAATTTCTTTCAAGAGCAAGTAGAGCAGCAAATTAAATGATTACCAATTCTTACTGTTTGTGAATGACGCTCATAACATCATAACCTATCTATCAGTGTTCATGCAAGAGATTTCCGTGGCTCCATTGCAAACTCTGAGGATTGAATTTAAAATGTTTGAATCGAAATAGAAAAGCATAAAACTCCCTGGAACCTGGTTCCATGCCAGTCATTCTCAATATAATAATTGGATCAGGTGCATTGTAAAAGACCAAATATCTGTAACATGGTTACAGATACGTACAGGTAAGCAATCTTTCTGGAGTTAAATTACCCCCAAAAAATTAAGAAACAAATAGGAAGATAAGTTGCTGGTTATCAGAGGTTTGTATCCATTTGCATTCAAAATGAAATTTAAAAATACACTGACTTCCTGATTTTTATACATACATGTTTAAGTGGACAGAATATTACAAAATGAAGGTAGAGACACAAAAATAAACCTACAGCACAAAAGGAGGTCATTCGGCTCACAGAGTGGCTGCAGTGGCTCAAGGAGATAATATAATCCCACTACCCTGCCTTATTCCCATATCCATTCAAGACCCTCTCTCTGTTTCACATGCCTGCCTACATTCCTGTTGAAAGCTACAATGGGCTCCTCCTTGACCACCCTACTCAGCAAGGCAATCCACATCTTTGGAGATGCAAAATATTCGGTCACATTCCCTAGATTTATCACTTCAGAGATTTATACAGCATCCTGCATAGTCCCAAAGCAAATACAAAAACTTGCAAATGACAGAACATTCTTAGTCAGCAGGAATGCTACTCTTATTATATCACTCAGTAAGCCAGCAGACTGGAAATAATTCTTTTTTTAAAAAACGCAGATAGTGAGTCTCAGATCAAGGAATAGATTCCATGTAATGGAAATGGAAACTTTAATTGTTACTGCTGCTTATCAGCAAAATATCGTGCACATTCATATGAATGCATTGATACATTATTTACTGCCAAGGGATTTTTCCAGTCCCATAAAGGATGTGCTTCTCAATGACACAAATGGATTTTGCATATAAATTGGATCTGTGGCGTACGTGTAATTTCAATAATGACTGTGCTGTAATTTTTTTGAGTATAAATCAGTGACAAATTACAGTGCTAATGGGAAGTCGTATTAAAAACATGCATCAGAAGAAAAGACAGACTGGTTCTAAATGTTATATTAGGTAATAGATCACTCATACTAAATTATGAGGATTTTCTTTAGGAGCAAGAAACTGACCTACATAGGAAAGATATCTTGAAAAGTAGCTATCCTGAGGTTTAAGCAGTTTGCTCAAGATCTCAAATTATGAATATATAGTGTTTAAAAAAAACTGAACTTAAATCTGAAAATGCAAAGCCGGTTGAGTGTGGAACTTCACACTTCTGCGAATGGCCACAGTCAAAACCTATCCTCTTCTCAATGTGGCCACACAGCTGTAAATTTCAATACAACATTTCCCTTCTTGTGTGTTAACTTACATGAGTGTGATAAGTTTATAGATTTAATAACTTGTAATGTAATGTTAAGGCATCATAAGATCGTTACATGTACACTACCCACATACTGCCCAATAGCATTACTGAGCCAGTTTTAATTTGTCTGCCAGTATTAATGTTATTACTAAACTTACAGGCACGGTGGCCATAGATCTCCAAGATGCAAGTTGTAAGCCTCCAAGTGGTCCTACCTTGTCTCTTCCTTCAGAGGGAGGTAAAGAAGGGAGGAGGCCCAGTATTGCTCCTGTTTTAGAAGTGGCCGATGCATCGTCTATACAAACCTGTGACCTTCTAAGTGACCAGTCAGAAGATGAAGCAAATCAATCCGATGAGGAAGAATCTTCACTGCCTGAGTAAGGGATCTGATATTTGTAGGAAAGGTGTTCCTCACTGGATAATATGTCATTTGAGATTGTTTTAGAATTAGAATTATTTAAGAAAGGAAAGCAAACGCACATGAAGCACTTGACAATTCTGGCTACGCATTATTGCTGACGATAATATTTAGCAGTTTTCTTTTTAAAAATATGCTGCAAAATTGAGCAAGCTCTTGTTCCAGTTGAGAAATCGCCAACCACAAATTATTGTTGCTCAAGGAGCCTTATCTCTTACTTACACACTTTGTCCAACAAGCCACACCCTGAGCAACGAGATGGGCAAGTAAAATGTTTCCAGTTATCAATGCAAATTTGTATTGAATGCCAGGCAAAGTCTGCAAATCAGTGTTCAAATCGTTGGATTTTCTTTTCCTTTCTATAACAAAGTACTTGCCTTAGTGACATTATAAAACTCCACATTCACACTTTTATTTAAAAATAATCTAAAAACGTACATTCCTTACATTCTGAGAAATATTACTTATTTTACTATTGAGACGCCATTCGGCGTCTAAGTTGTTGTTGTTACTAGCAAGGCTCTGCATCATTCCTCATATACATATTGATAGGATAATGTTTTTTCATGCACACATTATTTGTAATGAACATGGTGCAATCTTGTAAAACATATATGCAATACTATACTACTTTAAATATATGTTCATGTATGAAGAAAAACATTATTTTTTAATAAAAGTCCTCATTTTTAAAAAAATTTTTAAGTTCATTCATTTTGAGCATTTTCCCTTGTTTGAAAAATGTGATAACCAATCATTTATTCCTCAATTTAAACAACAGTTTAATGATTGAAAACCCATGCAGTGTTTCCATTTTAGGTATATTAAAGGATATCCTCCAAACTCCCCTTACATTGGAAGCTCTCCAACCTTGTGTCACTTACTGCAGGAGAAAATCTCATTCTGCTGCCTTAGACTTGATCAGGTGAGAACACATGTTAAATTTACTTGAATAATAATAATCTAATCAAATGTACTCTATTATTGGTGAAAAATTGTTCTACATGAGCATGCATTGAATGGAATCAAATTGCAACTGGGAGGCTTAGAAAATGACTTGGGTAATAACCAACAGGACACCTTTACAGAGGAGTTGATAATTTAAAAAATCTAATTGATTGTGATACATAGCCAAAGCAATAGAATAGGATAGAGTTCACGTCTACAGGAGTTATGCTAAAGGGTTTCAATGCTCTTGTCATATCTTGTCTGGAACAGTGTGTTCAGTTTTTCTCAAGGGTTACAATGCTCTTGTCATATCAGAACGAAGACAGTTAAGGGGAACCTCAATGAGCTACATCAAATATTAAGTGCAACAGATAAGTCAAAATCTAAATTATCACTATAAACCAAGCCAAGAGACAGAGAACTTAGAAGAATCAGTGGAAATTTGCAAAAATGTTAATTTATGAAACTGAGTGAATGTTCAGAGTAATTGACAAAGTAATATAATTGAGCAAATAGATGTGGTAATTTAAAGAACAATTAGGTGAGAGGGTTAAAAATCATAAGCGGAATGAGCTCCAGCAGTTCAAATCATCTTTTTCTCACCTCAAATTCAATTTAGCTCTGCAAGGTTATTTGTGCAGCACATTTATTCCAAAAATAATCTATGAAAAGGTTTTGTTGTTTTTTTGGAGATGACTGCAAGGTCATTGGTAACCTGCAAATCTGAAATGATCAGGGATGGTGTGGGGGGAGAGTAGTGGGTGGGGAAGTAGGAAGATTCATTATTTCCAGTCCTGAATGGAGAAACTGTTGGATACATGGAAATTCTATTATCACCATTCTATTCTGCTGAAAAAACAATACACCAATGCTTTACTTCACCTTTTGATATTTTACTTGTAGAAAAATAAACCCCTTCATAAGCTGAATACACCCTTTAATGTAGCAAACTATCTGCTTGCAGCTGGTTAAACTCCAGTAATACCCCAATGCAGACTCTGGGGTTCCTAAGCCTCCGCTCTTGCCAACCTGTACCCAATACTGCTTGTAAGTGGGATGCATCCCTGCTGAGAGATAGAGTGGGCATTCCAAACACAGAAATTTCCATGTGTAGGTTAGTATACACAGAACTCTGCCTGGTTTGGATCTTAAGCATGGTGATGGGTTTCTGCATATGCCAGACACCTGGCTGACCAAAAACAAATTGTGGGACATTGCAATGTTTTCCTACAAATACAGTCATTGCATTTTACAGTAAATCCTGTGAAGAGCTTGGAGACATCTTCCTGATGCGAAAGGCACAATTCAGCTCCAAGGATTATTGTCAAAACTTCGAAAATGTATTCCTAGTAAAGTAGATTTTGGAAAGACACATACAGAGTTAGGTCACAGCCATCCATTAATAGTGCAATCATGCATGAGATACATAATGTCCCTCACTAGTTGTGACACAGACAAACGGTCCTAATTTAGAACAGATTCAATGGAACTCCATTCATAATACAACAACAACAAATTATATTTGTATAGCGCCTTTCACGTCAGGTGGATGTCCAGAGTATTTCTCTAATATCCGAGAAATAAAATAAAAGTCCTTTGTTGCAAATAATATTTTAGAAAGCTTTGATGGAGACAGTGAAGTGGGTCCCTTGCCATATTACAGAATACATTCCTACAAAACTTTTATTTGTCACTAATCTTTACCATTTTATATTATCAACATGTCTGCTGTTTTCCAGTATTCTATATTTATTTCTATAGTTCAGACTTATGTATCTTTTTCCATCTTCTTCAAATAAAACGACAATGTCTGTCTGTGCTTCAAGAAGGATCTCAATAACCGATTGATGTAGAGACATGATTTATACCTCATTAGAAAGTCTTTCACTGGGAGTGACATGGGCATATTTGGTTTCGGGTATCTCCTATCGTTCACGAGTTATTTTCAGTTTTTAGTTTTTCGCTGTAGTTACACCTGGTGGCCGCCGAGTCAAAGTGGCGCTGTGGCATCGTGCGTCACAGAGCACGCACCTAGCCAAGCGATGGGTACAAAATAAAGAACACAGATGAAGCTAAGCCGCGGCAACAACAACAAAATTAAATTTTTAAAGCGCCAAGTCCTCACAAAAGGAGTCCTCCCAGATGAGTATAAAGATGAAATGTCTGTCTGTGTGTCATTCTACATTCCATGTTGGATCCTTTTGTTGAAAGCATCGCTGCAACGTGTACAGCTAGTAATTTATAAGACACCTTTGTGGTCAGAAATGAACAGATACCGCAAATGTATAATGCAACATTTATGATCTTTTCACTTCTTTGTTTCTTATGGATCAATTTTATTTCTAAAGAGAAAGGAAACTCCAACGTAGTTTGTGTTTTATTAAAACACTAAATTACCTAACAGAATTTCCCCTGTTCAATGCAATAATGGAGTAACTGAATCATTGGGCTTCACTGCAATTGTTCCATGGTCAAATAGCTCCCAGCAGTCAAGACAAAAATAAAATGAAACTGACAGAGTAAAAGCAATTTATACCCAGGATTTTCAAGTGCACTCTTGTTAAAGTTATAAACAATTCATTTCTTCCTTTTTTGGCAGGGGTGTCAACATAATTATTCTGAAGATGCAAAAGCATATGGATTCAGAAACAAACTTATCATTGTTTCTGCGGAGACCGCTGGAAATGGATTATACAATTTTATTGTTCCTCTTCGAGCCTACTACAGACCAAAGAAGGAGTTAAATCCCATAGTATTGCTCCTGGATAACCCGTAAGTTTTTTTTCTTTGTTTAATACCGTGTAGAAATTTACAGTGGAAAACTATTATAATGCTGGTTGCATGTTGTGTCAACCGACTGCTAATACTGTTTAGATGCGAGATTCACTAAGAATGCAGGACCAGAATTTATACCAGAAGCACTTGCGGTATAACTAGCATCCGCAACAGACAAGCCACCTTCCTACACTATGAGGCCAACTTTCAATTCATCAGGTAGCCCCTATTACTTCCTGTGCAGAAAGAATCACTGATGCTATTTTTTCGTGCTGTGCATACACACTATACGCGGGGGCTAGTTAACACACAAGAAATGACACTTACGGGTTACGATTCCTGACCCAGAAGTTTTTAGTGTTTTGTTATAACACAGCCTCTGAGCTATGGGACCCAGAGACAACCCGACATTATAATGGTGGTGCCTTCGAGCTGCTGTCAACACAGGTACAAAGGGGCCTGGATAGAGTTGATTGAAAGAAACATTGTAGGAAAACTCTGAATAAATTACATTATTATTGCCCTACTACATTTTAATTGGAGAATTATGTTTATGGCGAAAATGTGCACCTCATGTGCCGCTGCTGGTAAATACAGATCTTAGCACCATCTACTGACAGAAAGTGGCTTTACATCACTCTGTGTGCAAAATATAATTTTTAAAAATATTTTGCATTTGCAGTATTGAAAAGCCAATTTCGTGAGATGGTATCATCTGGAGTATGGTATTGCAATACGATTTGACATCTTATTGCAATACTAATAGTCAAATCCATTGATTATGAAATGTCCATTGAACATTTTAAAATAATAGTTTCAGTTATAGGGCATGTGTAAAAGCATCTTTACAGTTAAACAATAATTCTCTTTAAAATGAAATCCAAACATCTTCATTCACTCATTGTACTCTGGAGCACCCAACTCTTGGTTCTTGCCAAATTACGCCTTATACTGTGAAATAAGCAGGATTCATCCCTTCTAGATTTAGGGATATTCATCCTCACAGCACAGCTCCATCATCATCCCCAATGGCTGCATCTTCATTTCTAATGCACGAATGCTTGCAAATCTCATGACAGTATAAAAGATACACCTACAAAATACAGTCACTCCACTTTAGAGTAAATCCTGTAAAGACTTTGATACTTCCTTCTGACGTGAAAGGCGGTCCATCAAATACATGCATTGTTTTGATTTATTATTACATGTTTGCATTATATCACTAACTATTTTGAAAAACACAGTCAATTACAGTTGACCTTTGTTATAGCAGTTCATATGATGTGTCTATAGATGCCGGTTCACAAACAAACAAGTGTCTAAACCCAAGAGCACAAACAACATCTGTTGCTCCTGATCCTCAGTTCTCTCAGTGTCTGGCAGAATTCAATATCAGAAAACAAGAAGTGAGCAGCACCACTGAATATAGTCAAGCTACAACTGGCAACACCTGCACTTAAAAAAAAGCCGAGATAGCCACACCACAGAAATCTTAGTCTTAGTCATCTCCCACATAGCAATTGGCTACAAAGAAAATAATTTTAAAATAAACGACTTGGAAATGGTCAGGTTATGTGTTGGATGTTTTTGTACTAATTCCTTAGTGCCTCAATTATCTGGTTTCCAAATTGAGTCAATATAATGAACTGGAACTGTATATTAAAATTAAAACACTAGCAATTTTAAGGGGAAATAATAATATTCAATTCAGTCCAAACCTTTGCGTATTAATAGCACTAAATCAAGATTAATCTTTTCCATTGTGCCTGGATTTTATACTGAAAGTTAACGAAACTGATCAAATTCTCCCGACGGTGCGTGAGGAGTCTGAACGACGTACAGGCAGGTACCATTCATTGTCATTGTCACAAATGCCATCTACTGGCCTATAACAGTACTATAGCTATTGGACAATTCATAAAATAATAATGATATTATAATAATCCTTGCATTTGATATAGCGACTTATCACATCTTTGAGACATCTCAAAGGGCTTCACAGGACATACTGTAAACTGAATTGACTGTATATTCTGTGGGCGAAACAATGAGTAAGATGTATTCGGACCCAGTTATACTGTGCTTCAGTACACCTCTGGTCCATAAATAATGCGGGCACCTTGTGGACCTGGAGTATATGATTTGCTGTACATAGCGTGCGGGCACAGAAGGCCTCAAGTGCCTTAATACTGCCCATTCACATCACTTTAAATTGGCTGTGGGAGTTGTCAGGAGCATAGCTCCATCACCATCCCAAATGGCTGTGTCTTTATTTCTAATGCACATATCTTGGCAAATCACTGCCAAACCCTCGACAGTGTAAAAGCATCCTGTCATGTCTGCAGCGTGGCTCAGTGACATCAGTGTGCCCCAGTCTGATAAAATGTCTGTCATCCCTTACTCCCAAGGTGAAAGAAATGTAATTTTTGTTTGTGTTAATGAAATCTTAGTCACCGATTGAGAGCTGTCTGAAATCACAAGATTTTCAACTGGCAAACTATCTTAATCTAAGTGCAGGAAAGCACAAATTTAGCACTGGAGCATTGAAGGTTTGGAGGGACTCAGCACCAAATTACAAAATAAGTGACTGGGCGGACGCAGACTTCTTGTTTTCGTGATTTCATTGTCTTTTACTCTTTTAGCATGGAATGACTTTTATGGTTGGCCAGAACACAATCTAAAGTCAGTGCCTTTTCCTTGAATTATACGTCATCCAGACTCTGTTCTGCTGTCACTCACTTTTTGCTGAACTTTTTATCTCTCTGACACGTTAAAGCTCACTTGAGAATTTTACAGCTCGTCGTATTCCTCACTCCTGTAACTCAGATCATTATTGATTGCTCTTTGTTTTTTTTTCCTACTTTATTTCTCTCCAAAATAGAATCATTGGCCTCCTTCACCATCCTCCCCTCTTGCAGCAACACAATTCCTTTACGTGAATAAAGTGAGATATTTTACTGAAATGTAGAATTGGCCAGTCAACATTATGTATTAAAGATTCAACATTTGTATCTTAGATGGACGGGTGCTTTGAATTTAGAAACGTCGTCATTTCAGGAACAAGCAGGAGAAAGTGGAAAACTAAAATTGCAAACCAAATATTTACTTTAATTAACAGAGTATCTTGTGAAGCGTTTTGAGACATCCTCCTAATGTGAAAGGTGCTACATGAAATGTAATTATTATTTGTTGGTAACTAAACATTACTGCAAACATTGGTAATTGTTGTAATCTCAATTCAGGAAAGAGGCAGAATAGGTGTCTTCTGGTATGCATTGAGTCTCTTATTTATATTTACGAATATAAATAAGATAAATATAAATAAGTAAGTGGAAAAAAATATATAATTAAAGACCTCAGAGTGGTTTGGCATTAGACCCAACAGCTGCTAATGTTGTCTCTTGTTTTATTTAAGACTTTCAAGGCTGTGATTCAAAGTTAGTTACTCTTTGTAGTTTTTCTGTCTAGTACTTGAAGCAACAGCTCCGTAGGTCTGTGAGTGAAAGCTCAGGGAAAACAAACACAGATGGCAGTATAATCCATTAAATCTAAAGATAAAAAAATTCTTGTATTTGTAGCAGAGCCACTAGATGATGCTCTCTTTACCATTCTAAGCCTGTCACTACTCTTGAGTGAAAGCAGTTAAAGAATCAAAACATGAAGAGTATTTTAAATTACAGCTATGGGTGTGCACTGACTTTTATATGTAGTCTGAGTCTATGTAGAAGGGCATCGTAATGTGCTTTGTTTCATTATTTTCTTAGTCTAATTAATTGATTTTCCCAATTGCTTCCTCTGATTTGGCAGCAAGATGAGTGCAATAGCCGGTTTGTCAGATTGAGTTACATTTACTGTTTAGCTTACAAAGCATATCAAACACCTTACCATGGGTTTGTAATAACACAAGTCTACATAGGATAGTTTTATCCTACCTGTATAAGTAGCTAGGTACTTATACCGTCCACAGAATATACAGTCAATTCACTTTGCAGTATATTCTGTGAAGCATTTGAGACATTTCAAAGACGTGATAAGGCGCTATATCAAATGCAAGGATTATTATTATTATTACTTGTGGGGTCCTGTAGCATAGTCGTGAGAACACTCGCCTCGCAAGTGAGAGGACCTGGGTTTGATTCCCGGGCTGGGCAAAACTTTGGGCAAGTTTCTTTACTCCACACTCCTCTCTTTACCTCGCAGTAAGTAGGAACCTGGTTGTTAGTCGATTGGCAGATAGCTTTTCCGGGGGTAATAATTCCTTAAAAATAATTCACTCAATCCACGACTGTTTGCGGGACACTGCTGTGCATAATTGGCTGCTGCATTTCGCCCACAAATATACAGTCAATTCACTTTACAGTATTTTCTGTGAAGCGCTTTGAGACGTCTATATCAAATGCAAGGATTATTATATATATAATATAGTGATCATATATACACACACTCACAATATAGTAAGGATATAAAGGGATACCGTAAAACATGGGAAAACGATGTAAGGCATTCAGAGCAGTCGGGAACTGACAAAATGGTAGAGCAGGTTGAAGAACCATTGTTGAAACCAGTAGACCCTGGGAAAGGAAAAGTTGAGAGGCAAATATGATTGCAGTTTTTTAGATTCTAAAGGGACTGGATAACGTAGACCATGATAAGGTGTTTTCTCTTGTCCAGAACAGTAAAACCAGAGGACATGGCCTGCGATTGAAGTGGGTGGGGGGAGATAAATTCAAAACAAATTTGCGGAAACACTATTTCAGTGAGCGAGGAGTAAATGTATGAAACAGGCTCGTAGGGAGATGGTGGAAGCAGAAAGTGACTTCTAGGTCACTGGGTGAATGTTGACATTACTCTGTGAGCCATAGTTTGAACTGTCTGTTTTTGCAGTGAGTATGGAAGTGCTGACTAGCCGTTACGATCTGTTATAGCACGAGTTGGGATTTTGTGGACCACCAGCTATTGTGTTATAATGGGGCTCTACTCGATTTCCACAGATGTGCAATTAATTGAACTAAGAGCCCCATAGAAACCGTAATGGTGAACATTTTTATATGTTACACATGAGCCATTGGGAAGATAATACAACAATTTGCTCAACACACCAAAATATTAGTGTGCTCCCTAACACAGCTGGACACAATGAATTGACTGAAGCCAGAAAAACTCAGAGTTGGTGATTGAAAATAAACCTAGGCAAGGACAGCTGTTCGTAAATACAGAAGGATTATGTCAATACTGACTCCAACTTGGTATCTCCAGTAAGTCAACCAATACATCAACTATTATTTGTGTTCACAGTTTAAATTGCCATCTCATTTTTGCTTTGCTGAAAATGAATGAATTACAGCAGTAACGATAAACCCACTTCAGAGAGGGTCCCCTCCCAATGATCCCGTTAGTTAAGTCAAACACAGTACCCAGCAGGACTCAGGTACTTCCACTGATAGGCCAGATGATATAACAGTTTGCCATGTAGCACTTTTGCAACTACATGTATACTCAATGGTGAGGTGGGGGGATGATAATATTACAGTACATTGAAAACAAACCTAAGATTTTGTTTCCAGGTTATCAGCTGACACACATCCAAGGTTGTCACACACAGAAAACCATGCGTAATATCACTATCCTCTGTAAGTGCAGAGCAGATGGATCGACTTGGAAGTCAACTCCATAATAACTGAATGCTATACAAAAACATCAAATGTAAAATGACAGGTAATCAAAAACATTTCAATACAGCCAGAAGAATCATTTGTATTTTGAGTGGCAGTCCTAGATCACGCGCTTGGTTTCCTGATAGTAAATGAACCGTAACGGCAATCTCAGCACAAAAAGTTGTTTATGGTTGATTCTCATCGTGAAAAGTATATTCAAGCACATTACTTGGAGGTTTTCACTAGCAACAAGTTATATGTTTTGGAACTATTTGGTAAATATTACATATGGGGCTTAATTTACTCTTGTATATGTAACATTTCAGAGTGTGCGGAATTTGGAGAATTGTTTGAATTCATTTTTAACCTTTAAGCCTGTTTTCTGATGAAGAACCTACAGAAACAGCTTCTAAATTAGAGCTGTAGTTAAGAACACATTTCCATGTTGCATGCAGATGTGGAATCTGCAGTCTGGTTTAGATACTCTTAAGCATAGTGATGGGTTTCTATATAATAATAATAAATCCTTGTATTTGATATAGAGCCTTATCACATCTTCGAGAAGTCTCAAAACGTTTCACAGAATATACTGTAAAGTGAATTGACTGGGTAGACATCTGAACAAAACTAATAAACAGACCAATATACCTGTTGTATAACTTACTCAATACTTAAAACATTTCTGTAAATGGCCACAGGGCAAAAAAAACACAGAGTTTTCTTTTACTCCCTGATCTAAATCTTAATCCAAAGATTTTCTGGTATTTTAATACTCCTTAATAGAGCACACATGTATCTCTTTCTAAATCAGATATTGTGAATATACTGAAATTAAATACCAGTTTATTTTCAAAATGCTACGTGATAAAATATTACTGTAATTTGGATTATTATTAATAGGAATCCATTAGCCATTCTGTTGAGTATGTTGTTGCAAAATATTGAATATAAGTGTTTTCCTTCCTCCATTTATATTTTAAATTATTGTAAGATAAATATTTTCTTCAATAAGTTATTTAAACTTCAAAGTCTGGAGTGCTGCTGGGTTGCAGACCACATGGGCTAATTTATGGATGGAATTTTAATTCTATATGAGGATCATTGCCTTCTACTAAACACAGTCAATCTTACACTGTACGTGAGTCAGGCCCATTCGAACCCTGACTTATCCCAAATGAAATGGAAAGAAAATGTTACCAGTGAACCTGTAGAGATTACTAATGATGTAAAATTGCTGTAGTAAAAGGTGTAATCTTCTCTCTTGGGTCTCGTTAGTGAGAAGGATGCAGGGTGGATGGTTACCCTTCAGAACACTGAAAATAGTCTTGTGAGTCAATTAATTTACAAAATGTAATCTATGACTATCACAGAGGGGGATAATTACAATTCCTTAACCAGAAACACATCGCACTGTCACTCATTAGTAAATATAAATAACAGTACAGACTTACTTTGGCAAATAAATATTGGTACACATTGAAAGAAAATTACGATAGGAGGCTTGCTTGAAGTATGGGGTTGAGATTGTCACGTTTACAGTTAATTAAAATCATTGTCTTACTAGTAAATAGTGTTTAATTTTTGAAAGATTCGGAAATAAACTAGTATTTTATTGTTCCTCTGTATACAATCTTCCCTGTTTCTTATGTAACCTTACAACTTTGAGAACTTTCCATGATGCACCACATTTACATTCGCAGAAGTCTGCTGGTCAGCTACATGAGTAAGTTTAGTTATCTTAAGATATTTAACAAGGATTTGTTCCCCCCCCATCCACCAGAAGTGTTCTTATCAAGACAGGGAATAATTGTGTGGAGACTTCAGACCAATTTAAGAAATGATTGACACATGGAAGTAAAATTGTGATAGGCAGCTTGCTTGAAGTACAAGGTCAGAGGTGTTGTCATTCAATTAGAATCCTTATCTTCAATCACCAATTACTGTATGACTCAAGGCCACTAATAAAATTTTATATTTTAAATGCTGTTAAGAAAAGAAACTGGTCCATCTTGGTCACAGTGGTCTAGGGTCAGCAATATTAACAACAACAGTAGTTATATTTGTATATATATTTGTATATTTTGTACATATATTTGTATGTTAAAGAGCCTTTCACATCAGGAGGACGTCCCTAGGCACTGGACAGTCAGGGATCCGCACACAAGCTGACTCTTAGCCCTTAAACCACCTTACAAAAGTGCAAGTGGTACCACCACCGATGTTTACTCGTTCACCAAACCCACTCCTATTTGATGCGACTCACATGGCGTACATGCATACTAGTCAATCTTCAACTTTACATTGGTTGTGAAACCATCCCGTAATGTATAGAGTGAAAAAGCTCTTAAATAAACATAGTAAAACTGAAGTTAACATAATAATGAGACTGAGAAAGAAGAATGTAAAAGATAAAGGAAAAAAAGAAATGACAGCAAAGCACGAGTGAAGTTCTTTTTAAAAATGGATTTCAATTTTGTTTCTCCACTTAAGCATGGTGATGAGTTTCCGCATGTGTCAGACACCCGGCTGAGCNAAAAAAACATTAGAGTTGCTTTAATATAATAATTCCTACATTAGTACCTTTCATGTTGGAAGCACATCTCAAGGTGCTTCACAGAATGTACTGTAAAGCAAAGTGACTGTATTTTGTAGGCGAATGTATACTATACAATTTATAGTAGTTAATATTACAGTAATAATTTCTATTGTACAGGGATGTAGAAAGAATGGAATGAGAAAAAGTTGTTCAGCTCACTGCTCACCACACACACACCAATGTAGGCGTTTTACTCTGATTTTCTTGTTAAGCAGGATACTGTTTTACAGTAGAGTTCAATCCTGGCAGTGTAATTTCAAACAGATTCTTCTGCTGAAATCCAAGCAATTGTGCTGGAGAGAAATCAATTGTGTAATGTGTTTTTCCTGAAATTGATCTTGCTGTGAAAAGTTTAATTTTCGCCAGTATTGCACCAATTTTCAAAGAAGGATTGAGCTCCTTTACACAAGTGACCTGCACAATAACCAGTAAGCAGTTTTACCAGTATTTTTTTAAATCTTGAATGAATTCAGCTCAAACTCATACAACAACCACTTCAAGCAAGAGCGATAACAGCGATAAAGTACTTCTCAATGATGTGGATGGACAGAGTGTGTGATTCAAGGAAACCAAGTCAAGTTCTTCTACCTGACTGTAGCTGAGAAAAACTGGTTTGAGAACTGATCACAGCCTTTCAGTATGCAACTACTTGTACTGATTGGCACCCTTGAGGATAGACAAGGCTTTTGAGATACCACATTACTGAGAGTTTAGTCTGTAAAATATTGCTTTTGCAATTTAAAAAAAAATCCTATACATTTCTTATGAATCACTTTTAATTTTTGTACGCCCACACACATACAGACAGCCAAGTTAGTGAGTTCCAAAGATGCGTATTTAAGAGGTATTGTTTACGCATTCTAAACTCTGGCTTTCTCCCCAGGCCAGATGTACACTTTCTGGAAGCAATCTGTTGGTTTCCTATGGTTTACTACATGGTTGGCTCTATTGACAAGTATGTAAGATTACAAAGCATGATATGCTATACAAAGGCCTAAAAGCCTTGTTTGTGTGACCTGCTGCACAATGTTTTTTGCATGACTGCTATTTCTAGTTTAAAATTGAGTAACGTTTTCGGAAAGAGATGAGCATGCTGCAGCATGAATTGCATGTGGCTCATTTTTTGTTTTTAGTTTGCAAATTGTGTCTTGTATTGTTGTTGGTGCTCTACTGAAACCAGAGAATAGATTATGATCTTTCTCCATTGATGTGCTCTGCGCCAAGTGGACCCTTGGCTGTCGTTATCCTAACAAGTGCAATGTTTGCTAAGTAACACAATTAGGTTGGGAGCTTTACAGAAAACAGCTGTAACTATGATTTTGTGCTCATAATAGGATGGTGCAGTTACGGGTCTTCACAATTACAAAGTCTGAGTTTGAATGCTAGGTTGTCGGGATGAACATTTCCTCTACATGTTGTTCATAAGAATCCTATGTATAATGACTATTGTTTCCTGAGGGGTATGATCCGATGTATCGAAATGCTATCTATAATTCAACTTTATTTATCAGCGTTCAACAACAAAAACTTGATATATTGTGCCGTTCACTTAAAAGATTGCCTCAAAACTCTTGAGAAATGTAGTGGTGCCATCCAGCAGGGAAATGAGGGATTTCAAGATGACCAAACATGCCGACATGTGCTGAGCATTTCAGTCAGAATCATAACTGGGATTGCAAGGTTTCAGCTTTATTGCAATTAAACTGAGTTGGATAAATTTTGGATGCATTTTGCCCTTTGATATAATTTGTTGTTGCTCCACATTTGGCTAAGTGGAGATATTTCACAGGGATATATAAGATGTTTTGTTGTAGGATACCTCATTTTCACTGAAGTTCAAATTATTATTAATGATAATTAATTCTCTTGCTGCTTGCATGTTCTATATATAAATATACATTTGCTTTGTGTGTTCAGGAAATAATTGGAGAGAATACTTACTGTGTCTGAAGAAACTCAATTAACATCAGTAGATACACTCATTAACCCAGGTGCTTCAGCATGTTAATTAATGGTATTCCTCATACTTCTCAGACTCATTAACTACTCCAAGCCAGTCCTCTCAATAATATTAGCAGTATTCAAGCAAAAGCAAAAACGTAAATAGATGTTATATGTTGTTCAGGGCTGTTTGTAGATTTTTGAAAGCAATGCCTCGGAGAGTACCTTTTTTTTCTCTCCAATAACAAGGAAATCAAATGCGTAAAAAAAATCAAACTATCGGCATCATAATATTATTTGCGCAGGTTGCCTCCAAATTAATTGGTTATGCTTATTTTATTTCAAAATTAGAATCAGTACACAAATCAGCAATAGATGGAACAACAAAATATTCGTTCAACACTACCAGATGGGTCAGCTTTTTCAGTTCTTCTGCTGTAGCTGTGATGTTTTTTTTTGAAAAATGGTCATTTACAAGTTGTATTGAGATTAAAAATATTAAGTTAAACAGATTGTTTAACTGCTTTTTATAGAGATAACGATAAATAGATCTATGGGATATGATTTCATTCCACACATGAGCTGAAGCACCTCGCAAGGGATAAGTTCACAAGCAAAACATTGCCAATGCCACAAACAATCAATAAATAACCATAATTCAAGTCTTCACAGTTAAACAAACAATTAATCTTTAGTTTGCTGTAAACAAAATTGCTCGTTTGGGATGGATTGGTTTATGAAACTTGCAAGTTGGGAAAGAAAATAATAGGAGAAATGTAATTTTTTAATTTTGAATGTATGCGTTAAAAGCAGAACTTTAACATCACAATGGAGTTGGACTGATACACTGAATTATAGTATAGAGAATATAACAAATAATAATGGAAAAATAATAATTCAATAATAGAACTTCACTAGTCTGTTTAAAAGATAAAGAAATAAGTCCATTACCTCATCAGGCAAAGAGGATTTTTTAGGCAGTATACTTTAATCTTTTGTGACTTGGTTGTGCTGTAGTTGGAGAATGCGAAGTACTGTATTATGTTGTGTAGTTTGGGCATATTCTTTGAACATACTCTTCATACCATTTCAGAACACAACACATTCAGGTTAATTTTGGGAGGAAGATAGCCCCGAAAAAATGGGGTAATTGTGGTCCCATGCAACCAACTTAATAGCACATTTCTCTTGCTGTGAATGATGTGATTGCATTGCGTAGTGTGCAGGTGTTCAGACTGTGCTAGAAATGTTGTAATGATTGGCTTTAAGTAAAAGCAGCATCATAGTTATAATAATGTTCAATTCTATTAGTTATGTCAAAAACACTGACAAATGAATGTTGATCAAATTAATGTCTTTTTTCCTGTTCCAAAAAGCCTAGATGACCTGCTTAGGTGTGGAGTAACATTTGCTGCCAATATGGTTGTAGTAGACAAAGAAAGCACAATGAGTGCCGAGGAGGATTACATGGCAGATGCTAAAACAATGGTAAATGTGCAAACGTTATTCAGGTAAGTGATATTAATAATAATAATAATAATCCTTGCATTTGATATAGCGCTTTTCACGTCGGCAGGACGTCCCAAAGCGCTTCACAGAACACACTATAAAGTGAATTTACTGTATATTTGTGGGCAAACACGGCAGCCAATTGCGCACAGCAATGTCCCACAAACAGTCGTAGATTGAAAATGACCAATTTATTATTGTTTTTGGTTTTGGAGGGATTATTATTAGGCGTGTGGAGTAAGGAAACTTGCCCAAGGTTTCGCCCTGCCTGGAATTGAACTCAGGTCTCTCGCTTACAAAGCGAGTGCTCTAACCACTGAGCTACAGGACTCCACATTAAGAACTGTTATCTGAAAGTAGTCTTACGTTAAATTGATACTAGATTCAGCATATGTGCCTCTGAGTACTTGACCACGAGCTGCCTATGAAATTTAAGAGCAGTGTTTATTCTGTTCGGGCAAACAAAATTGTAAACCATCTGAGAAATTATTAATTTGATTTGATTTCTTAATTTATTTACGTTAATTAAACTATATATTTGGATTAATTCCATAGACATCTAACAGCTATGGGTCAGATGTAACCATTATTGGTCCTCCCAATCAAGGTCATCCCAAAGTGCTTTTTTGATAGATCAGTGCATCACCTTGCTTTCTCAGTATATCCCTATTTCTTTTCACTCTCCAAGAGTCCATTTTATTCTCGAATATTGTTAAATTCAATCTTAATTTGGGAAACAGCTTTCCAGAAGAAGAACCAATTTATTCTTATTTGTATAGAATAGAATCATTTACAGCGCTCAATAAAAATTCAGGAGACCTGCACCAGCTGATCTTGTCCCAATCCATACACTGAAGGCCATTGCTAAGACGATGAAATCACAAGCAAATCTTGTTCTGATTATTCTCAGTTGAACAAAATCAATGTAACCATGTGAAATTGTTTTCAAAGATTCATTTTGCTCCAGACTAGTTTGTGTAAAATCCAAAGTCAACTTTTTGCTTTCATTAATCAACACCTTCAGTGAAGGTTATCTATTTTAAATGACATGTTTATCGAAGGAAATTGAATATGCAGGCTACATGGATGGACTGACAGTCTGAAATCATTACAATCTTTTCTATTCTATGGCTAAGTGTCATTTTACAGGCTATAATGAAGCTTGGGTGTGTAAGAAAGTATTTTTTTCCAGCTTCACAACAATAAAAAATTAGATCACATTAAAAGATATATGCTAGATAGCATATATTTGTTGGAATTTTGGGCTGTTAATAGTGAAGCGCTGTAATTGACAATTATGCTGTGTCTACTCTTCTCTCTCTAGGTTATTCTCCAGTCTCAGTATTATCACAGAACTGACCCATCCAGCTAACATGAGATTCATGCAGTTCAGGGCCAAAGACTGCTACTCATTGGCTTTGTCTAAACTTGAGAAGGTGAGGACAGATATATTTTTGATTTGAAATTACATGCAGTTGTATATGCAAATAATAGTTATTCTTAAACCCTCTCCCTTATCAACAAAATAGCACAGCAGTTGCATTTTCTTGGCAGGCTACTGTGGGTTCCCAGCAGTTGTGTTCCCATGTTGAGAATTGCAAATATGTGTAGCCTGGATGCATATTCTGGATGCTCAACAATATTACAGATATTAGTGATTCTTCAGTATGCTATTCTTGGAATTTAGGTAAAGGAAATTTATCTTAAATGACAAAGTACTGAGGAAACCTCTGTCAGCAGTAACATTTCCAATCTTACTGTACTTTCATTCCAATAGCTTCTACTAACTCAACAGATTCGGATTGCTCAGTAATAGGGTATGGAAGCAGGCCAAAGCATTGGTCTCATAGTTAGGTAATTGGCTGCCGCGTTCGCCCACAAATATACAGTCAATTCACTTTACAGTATATTCTGTGAAGCGCTTTGGGACGTCCTCCCGACGTGAAAAGCGCTATATCAAAATGCAAGGATTATTATTATTGCATGGTTGCTCGGGGTTAAGTAATACAGTATTGAGACAGAATGCCTGTAGTATTGATGAGGTGTCTGAGGCCAGTGACTCTGCTAGTTTTTTTCCCACTTCTTTTGTTGGCTCCAAGAAAATGAGTGTTCAGTTCTTTCCTTGATCTTAAGAATCTGAACAGAATTTCTCAAAATGAAATGTTCAAGATGTTATATGACAGACTCATTCCTAATTACTTTTATTAACCCAAACTATCCACTCCAGATGAGATTGGACTTGAAAAGCCCTTTCTGTTCATTCACAGCATTTAGAGTTAAATGTAGATTAAAATCTTTATCCAGTAACATATCTATGACATAGACATTTAATGAAAGCTTAAATGAAGCTTTAATTTTACATGCTTGTTAGCTTGCTCAAATAACATCTGTAACACTATTGTATGAAATTTAGTTTTACAAAACCAAGTTGAGAATATGTTGCCATTGGAAATCACCAGTTATTGTCAGGACTCAATGATTATACACTTAATTTAGAGTTATTTTAATTTTGTCTGAAAAAATGACTAGTTGGCATTTGTGTTTTTGCCTTTTTGTTCTTGTATCTAGGAGTATATTGAATTAGTGCGAATTTAAAGCATTGCAGCAATGCAGTTATATAATTGGCAATGTTGTATTTAGGTTCAGAATCACATTATGCATATTTAAATAGGTGATCTTACATAAAAGTAGTTTAAATCTTCATGAATACATAGAAAAAATAGTCTGCTTTTTACAGCACCATTTAATTAAACTAAGTATTTTTCAGAGTGGAGCTCCAGAAATGTACCTTTATTCCATTATCAGCAACGTCTCTAAGCCAGTTCCGCATATTTTTTCCTTTAGTTGTTTTGTTTAAACTGAAACTTGAATAGGGTGCCATGTTTAGGATGATTTTGAGCTCTACAAAGACCTACAACAAGCTCCGTGACCCTATCAACCCCATCCTTGCCCAGCTACACATCCCCCAGAGGATGAGGCCAAATCCTCAAAGCCCTCCACAGCCTTGCTCCTCCTTACCCCTGTGAGCTTTTGACTCCATATAAACCTGTCCACTCCCTCCGGCCAGCCTGCTCCATGTACCCTGCCTGGCCTGCCCTCACCCTTTGGAACTCCATCCCATAGTACTCCCCTCCCTTTCCTCCTTCAAGGCCCGTCTCAAGACCATCCTCTTTGACTGCGCCTTCAGTCACCCTCCTACTCTACCCTCCATTCCTCCTGATCCCAATCCCAGTTTGAGTCCAACTCCTTGACTTTCCAGCGCCTTTCAAAAGCATTCATTCTTTCTTCATACGGTAATAGAATCGTGTATAAGGAGCAACAGTAATAAGTTCTGAATTTATTATGAAGCAGAAATTGTTCCAAAGCTGTACACAATGTGTCAGATTTTGTACTCTTTGTTCAGCATATATTCAATAACAATATTCTGAAGAGAACACTGTTGTTAGTGATAGGATCTAAATCCCACTTTCCGAAATGAAAAATAGTTGACAACAGGCAAGTTGTGATACTTCATTTCTTGCCGCATAAATCATGCAACACGGATGAACATGGAACGTAGACCTCACAATGCAAAGTCTTTGTTTGGTATACAGAACATTGGTCAATCATTCATTTCCTTGTATTTTGATAGATTATCACATCAATGACATGCTTGGTCACACCACCGAGATGCTTAAACAAATATGACCATTGCAATGAATCAGTTTTCAAACAAATAATGAAGCATCTCTGCTGAATTTTATACATTGCTTAGTTCAGTCTTTGACAAAATACCCTGTCTCAGAAAAAACAGTATCTCAGGCAAATTTAATGTGGCCTGGCAACATATTTGCTATGTTTACCTGTAAATTTTATGCTAATCAAATTGAAAAGTCATGGAGCTTGCAGAGCCTGCAGAATCAATACAGTAGCGTTTTACAAACATCCTCTTCAACTTGTACATGCTCCCTCTTGGTCACATCATCCGCAAACATTAAATGCTCAGTTTATTTGACAGTGCAAAATAAGATTTGCCAAGTATCAAAGAGTATCTGAAAAAAATGTGCTTTAATTAACTTAGAGGCAATAGTTACCAGGTTTAGCAAACACAAGTTACCTGGTTTATTTGGCTGACACATTTGAGTTGTTTTGGATTAATTTAAATGGAGTATGCATTAAAGTGCAACAAACGCATTTGCAAAAAAATATTTAGCTTCCCTTGTTTCTTGTGAGGTTCTGGTCATGTCAATGTAATCTGTATGACTCACAAGCAAAATCCACAGGATAGCTTTGTTTTTATCTGGTGTTTTATACTGTTATCAACACGAATAGTTCTATGGAGCTTCATTTAATTCTTCCAGTGCCCAGGTAGAGGCAGTATTGCTCTATTGAAACAAATAACTATATCTTTCTTACAACAGAAGGAACGTGAAAAAGGTTCAAATTTGGCATTCATGTTTCGACAACCATTTGCTGCTGGGAGAGTCTTCAGCATCAGCATGCTTGATACACTGCTGTACCAGGTAAATTATTTTTAATTTAAAATAAATCCTGAACCTCTGGAGAATGGCATCAAACCCAATACGAAGTGACATCAGCTTAATTTCTCTTGGAATCTTGCCAATTCAAAAATGTAAATGTATGTGTACCTGTTGAGCAAATTAGTATCTTGTTCTTTTAAGCAAACTGATTGACGTTTTTATTGATTTTACATGTGTCTAATAAATCAAACTGTGCAAAATGTTATTATACTGGGGAATATAATCAGCTTATCCAAGTAATGAAATGAGGTGTTTGACTATCAAAATAACAAAACAACCTCCTAACAAGATTTAATTTGATATATTAATTTATTTTGGCTTGCATAGATGAAAAGAGCAAATGAATATTGCATGTATCTATTTAGACAGAAGGTACTGTTGCTTCACTGTGTTCTGAACTTCAAGAGCTACTGGAATGTAGAGAGTATTTTACTCCTCTTTTTCCAACTAGAATATGAACTCCTCAACCTCCTCAGGCTTTCCCACAGACTTACTGAACCCGTGTGCAACTTAGGCGTCACTTTCTATCCCCAACTTTCCTTTCTAGAACATATCCGCTCCTGACCAGGACCACCTCTGCCACATTGCCCGCCTCCATCCATACTTCACAACCAATGCAGCCGAAACTCTCGTCCACGCCTTCATCACTTCCCGGCTGGACTATTCCAATGCCCTCTTTGCTGGTCTCCACTAATCCACCATATACAAAAGCCAATTGATTAAAAACTCCACTACCCGGATACTCATCCTCACCAAATTTTGTACCCCCATCACACAGGTCCTTGCCATCCTCCACTGGCTCCCAATTACCAAATGGATAGATTTCAAGATCCTCTCCATTTTCAAATCCCTTCATACCCTCGCACCTCCCTACCTATCTGATCTGCTTACCCCTCACTCTGCTCGGCCGGCTCTTGCCTCCTGTTTGTCCCTCGTCCCCTCTGCTACACCATCTGTGGCTGTGCCTTTAGCCACTACGCCCCAAAACTCTGGAACTCATCCCCCTCAATCCCTCTGCCTTGCCCCCTCCCTCCCCACTTTCAAATCCTGCCTAAAGACCTTCCTTTTTGATCATGCTTACGGTCACCTCCCATCTCTCTCTCCCCCGAGACTCGTTGTCAGATTCCGCCACTTTCAAACACTCCACGATGCTACGCTGCGTGAAGGACGCTATATAAATTCAAGGTGTTGTTGTACAAACTACGTATATTCACTTTACTAATGTACTCTTCGTATGCCTATATGTTGAATAGCCAATCTCGATTGGGTGTTAGCAATTATGCATTCAGTAATAATAATAAATAATAATAATCCTTGCATTTGATATAGCGCTTTTCATGTCTTTTCGATGTCTCAAAGCGCTTCACAGAATAGACTGTAAAGTGAATTGGCTGTATTTTTGTGGGCGAGACGTGGCAGCCAATTGTGCACAGCAGTGTCCCACAAACAGTCGTGGATTGAAAATGACCAATTTATTATTGTTTTGTTTTGGAGGGATTATTATTAGGCGTGTGGAGTAAGGAAACTTGCCCAAGGTTTCGCCCTGCTAATTAAGGCTGAGAATTATTAATGAATTCTATATGAAACTACTGGCTTTGTAGGATTGGTAAAATTTTCAAATAAGAATAAGTAAGGATAAGAATGCATTATATGAAAATGGAAATTTTGTTGTTTGAAGTTCAAAGCAGAATTCAGATTTATCAATCCTGTTTTAGTAATTGGAAATAAAGAACAATGTAATTTTAATGTAAGTAAAAACATTAAATGTGCAGGACACCTTTTATTTAAGCATCCCTGCTGAGAAGAGAAAGGAAAAATGGGGGAAAATAGCCCTAAAAAAAACTGTTTCCAAATAGGAAAAGGAAAAAAATAGGAAGAAAAAAAACTTTTTTCCCCTGACCCATTTTTCCCCCACTTGTTTCTATGGCTCTTCGCACTATGCATCATTTGTAACTGAGAGGACAGGCAGATCTCCCAGTCTCTCTGTCATTAACGCTCTGAATTGGCTGGGGTATTTGAGCAGGATCTGAAGCTGACTATCTCATAGCACATTAGCCATATTGTTGATAATTGGTTATTCAGCTTGGGAATCTTGGGCACAAAGCTCATTGCTGGGAGTTAACATTACACCATTGTGCCATCTCTTTAATTGTGCTTTTATTTTAATTCATAAAAGGTGGCCTGCACATTTAATGTCGTTAGTTACATTAAATTAATTAAAAATTACATTGTTCTTTATTACCAATTACTAAAACAGGATTGATAAATCTGAATTCTGCTTTGAAAGTCAAACAACAAAATTTCTATTTTCATACAATGCATTCTTATCCTTACTTCTTCTTTGGAAATTTTACCAATCCTACAAAGCCAGTAGTTTCATATAGAATTCATTAATAATTCTCAGCCTTAAATTGGCAGCACCAGTACCTAATCAATTTACATAATGTGAACTATGTGACTTGTAATGTAGGTTCAAAATGGATAATTTTACATTAATTAATAGGAGAATGTTTGATTGCAATTCAGATGAAGAGTAATAGTAAAATACTAATCCTCGCGTTTGATAGACTGCCTTTTATGTCAGGAAGAGGTCTCAAACTTCAAGGCTTTAGTGGTAAAGTATGTAACTATGTATTTTGTAGGTGAACTTTGGGGTATCTGATATTTAAGTTTGCTTTCATCAAACCTAATAGAGAAAAAAAAAATTTGTTCTTTGAATTTCATCTGAAATCAAACTTGAATTTAAAATTCTTATCTCTTTGTATGGATTGTTACAAAGACAACCATCGGAACCGAACCCAATTTCAGATTGGTGCAAAAAGTGCAGAAGAAAAAAACCTGACAAAATTGTAATGAATTATTGAAGGTTGGTGTAGTTTACAAAGCACCAGAATTCTGGTTCAGTTAATGAAAATAAATTGTTATTTTATCACTTGACCTTTCAGTCAGCATAGAACACTGCAGCAGAAAAACCTAGTCAAACTACTACCAAAATAGTAGCATATGAGAAGATGAAACAAATGCTTGGTATTCTACCTTATCCACCTTTTTCTCCTGAATTTAGGCTCAGGGATAGTTCCACAAGCGCACTTCAGTCCTTCACACGAGTTCAGACTATTCAGACTATTCGACTGTGTGGGGGAAGGAGAAGGGGCGGGGGGGGGGGGGGGGGGGGGGGGGCTGCGGAGCAGCTGAGCCAAATCTGACTATCTTTACTCAACATTTACACAACTTCTACAATTCCTCCCAATATGAAAGGAACTATGTAAATGTATATTGTATTGTAAATATATTTACGAGCAAGGATTTCCGAACAGCAAACCCCGACTGAATTTTTCCCTGGCACTCGGGCACTGATGTCAAACTGACTTCTGCTCAGGATGAGATTAGTTAACTCAGCACAAAGCAGGGGTTGAACTTGAGGTTACATTTTTTTTTATTTCCACATTTTCTCTCATTTTGATAGTCCCTTCCCCGTTATTATTCAGGAGAGGAGAGCAATGGAGTGGACTGCAAATTCTCTACAGCTTGTTGAACCTTGAAGTTCTGCCTTCAAGAAGCAAGACGGATACAACGTTTGTAATAATGGGACATCATCCTGCTCCGTAATCATTTTAGAAACCCTACACTACTTATCTCTGTAGAGTTGACAATTTAGTATTTTCGTTCTCACCAATCTCAAGCCCTGTATAATAAAAATGTGAATGTTTTTCACCTTACAGTACCAGGCTGCTGCTTCACTTTTTTTTGCAATTGAAGCAGCACTTTAATAATATTCTAGTTGGCTACATTGTGCAGATATTACATAAATAATATCGGCACTTGGTTTTAGTCAATATAAATAACTCTCCCAGATTGCCAATCTGTTAATCGACACCATGTTTATGAACCCCATCTCAAGATACTTTTTATTTACGCAAAACAATTTTAAAAATGATGCCAATGCAATATAAACATAGCCACACCATTCTGGAAGGGTGAGATCAAATGGGCCGAAGGGTCTTTTTCCCTTGGACCTATCTTGTAATCTTGTGATGTAGCATCGAGTGAACTTTATCTTTTCAGCTCTTTAAAAATGTTCTGTCGGATGACTTTATTCTGTTTTTATTTCAACAGAAACTTTTGTTATTTTACATACTTTTTTCTCATTTTAGTAAAATATTAATGTGAACTTCTTTGCTTGCAGTCATTTGTGAAGGATTATATGATCTCTATCACAAGGCTGCTCCTGGGTTTGGATACGACACCAGGATCTGGATTTCTCTGTGCAGTAAGTTGCTTTTGTTTCCATGTATAAGATACAAACAAAATCATTTACAAAGGCCCCCTCAACCAGTTGTTACGCATTTTCTGTTGTGAACCTTTTTTTCTGGTGAGCCGCTTGTCTGACACATTGGGAAACCATGTTTAAGAGTAACCAAGTCAGATAGAGTTCCACAGATGTACGCGACTTATACATGTACATTTCCTCTGTCCGAAATAGAATATGCACTCTTCCCTGAAGAAATGCACGCTGTTGACCCAATTTTGAAGAGTATTAGGCACGTTTTAGCAATAGGCTTGGGTGGTGAATGTATGGAACTCCTACCCCAAAGGGCTGTTGACGCTCGTCCTTGAACATATTCAAGACTGAGATAGATAGATTTCTTATTGCAAAAGGGATTAAGGGATATGGGGATAAGGCAGGGTCAGGTTATTAGCTGGAGTTAGATTAGAAGATCAGCCATGATTAAATGGCAGGGCAGGCTCGAAGGGCCGAATGGCCTACTCCTGCTCCTACATGTTATGTTATGTTAACCACCAGATGGGGGTAGGGGTTACTGCTGGGGTTTAGTCACACAGTTTACCATTGAGAGAACTGCTGGACAAGCTTCCTGGCTCAGACCACCATATCAATTGGGGCTTTCAGGGTTAATGGTGGGAATTCTTTACAATTAGCTCCTATCAACAACCCTTGTCCCTGAATCCTATGCATTCTAAATCATTTCTATCATTTTAAAAAAGCATTAGTATGGAACAAATTAAATCCAACTTAAACAAAAGGTTTTCGAACTAATTAACAATGTTGCTTAATATGATAATTCTTGCATTTGATATAGTGCTTTTTACATCTTCCAGATGTCTCAAAGCACTTCACAGAATAGACTGTGAAGTGAATTGACTGTGTATTTGTGGGCAGAACGCAGCATCCAATTGCACACATCAGTGTTCCACAAACAGTTGTGGATTGAATGACCAAATCACTATTTTATTTTACTTTTTTCTTGAGGGATTATTATCAGGCATGTGGAGTAAGGATACTTGCCCAGGGTTTCACCCTCCCTCTTATACAACCAACAACAACTTGCGTTTATATAGTGTCATTCAAGTGGAGTAGCATCCCAGAACGCTTAATTGCTAATTGCTTACACTGTAAAATACTATACAGTGATCACTATACTTATGTTCTTGAAATACACTTAAGAACATAAGAATTTGCTAGGCGAAAGTAAATTGGGACACTGGCAATTGATAGGAGAGATTCTGATAGTGCCAGGGTTGTACTTTGGAGCCATAACAAAAGAGCAGTGTTAATGCATCTATTTTTTGTGGTAACTTAATGGTAGCAAAAAGAGTAGTTTAGATTTCAGATATCCCACAACTATTAGTCGTAATAGTAGAAAGGTAGAGAGGTAAAAAGCATTAGGATTGAATAAAGCAATTCCTCTTACCAATTGCTTTAAAAATACATACAGCAACATTATTACTGGCAGCAATCAATGAAGAACTAATCACAGTAAATACAGTTCTATTAAATTATCTGAAGGAAAACCAGCTTTATTTTTTAAATAGCAAAATACTCGTGTTTGACAGATTAAATCTCATTTAAAAATGTGTCTATAACCCATCAGTGCTAAACCCCATTAAGGTAACTAAGCAACACATATCCTGGTAGGTCTTGTTGCTGTTGCTAAGCAAGTAATGCTCAATCTTTATTGTTTCAACAGTTTCAGTGATTTAATCTTTAAATTTGCATTTCACTGCTACCTGTGTTAGCTTATAATCGTCGTGACATTATTATAATGGTTAGGATGTTTTTATCTCACCAATTTTCACTCTTTTTTTGAAGGAGCCTGATTCTTCCAACCCCAATCTATTCCACAGGCACTAGTAACCCACAAGCATCTCTCCCAACCAGAAGATATTTTATTTAAAACATCTTTTTATGCCTCATTTATACAGCCAGCAGTGAAACTGTTTCACTCCTGCCAGTATATCATGCTAATTAAGAAGCTGGGTTCATAATGGCACATCACTTTTAATAATCCATGGGATTATTAAATTGAGTGTTTTTTTACAATCAAAAATATTAAAGAGTTAATTAATGCGTCTCAACATTGACATTCAGTCTCAAATCATGCAGGTGAACGGTCAGTCACTTGGGCAAGGTACTGGAGGGTGATCCGTCCACTTGAAAGCATATCCCAACAGGAATCAGTGCCTCCAAGGAGATGAAGAGGGGAACAAATTGGCAGAAAAAAGTTTTTATCATATACTTCAGTTGTTCAGCGAAATATTCCCAAACATCCTGATGTTTCAATAGATGTACTGTTGGCATATTAATAATGTTTTCATCACTATTGTGTACAGGCTGGATTTATTAGCAAAGACCAGGGAGAACAGAATTTATCTTGATCTGCTAGTATTTCAAAGGTTAGGGAAATTTGATTAATTTTATTCATCATTAATTGGGGGGGCAGGGTTTTATTTTTGTTTCCGATGGCTCAAAAAGTAAGTGTAGTCCATAGCGCCTGTGCTTTAAACATTGATTTTATTCATCGGCATGAAGTGGAGGTCAGTAGCTCTAGATTAATGAACATTATTAGATTTAAACGCACTTCTGCTGTGGTTTTATGGTGTGCTAGTTTGAATGTGTGTACAGACGATTCCAAATAGCACGGGAGCCTTTGTTCCCTTCCCCCTCCTACTCAAAACAATGGGAGTCTAATGTAAGGAATTTTCTTGTTATTAGGGAAACAGAATTCACAGGCGCTGCATTCTGAAAGTAGATTCTGTCAAAGCTGATTTCCTGTCATGTACTTCCAGGTTTATTATTAAACAATCTGGTTAGAAATTGCTACATATTAAATCCTGATGCATGCATACTGTGTTTGAAACAGTTCAGGGTTTGTTTTGAGCAACTGAACAGTCGAGTTCAGGGGCTAAACAAATACAGAGAATAATGTATATACAGGAGCAATCACAAGTCATTATGGGGCCCAGGTGACTAAATTATGATTGCAGTTTGAAATCAAGTTGTATTTCTTTATTGGATTTTTTTCCCCTCTTGATAGTATCCTGTCTAAGATGCAATAGAGCACATTAGCTAGTGTATTCTATGTAGTTTATGTAGGGTTATGTTTGAACTAAATGATTAATGGTCATATATTAATTAGTACTCATTCAGTGAATGGTAATTCATCTAATCTGTTGTTAACTATCAGGAAATAAGTCAGGATCCTGTAAGACATATGGCATTGGCACTCCTCATTAATAGACCCCCTCATAGTGGTGTGATCACTGTGACTTTAAATAAATCAATACATTTACTTAGCATTATTGGGTATTTCCACCAACATTCTATAATAATAATAACAATAATCCTTGCATTTGATATAGCGCCTTATTACGCGTTTGAAAGTCTCAAAGCGCTTCACAGAATATACTGTACAGTGAATTGACTGTATATTATGTGGGGAAAACCATGAAGTAGGGCTATGAGAGTCCATTCCATTACAATAGCACAATCTCTTATTACAGAAATGTCAGCAAAGAAAATGCCTACTGTTTCATATTATCTCATCTACTGGGGAATGCCCACTCTAATCCCATGTACCTGCTCTTCCACCATACCCACTATATCTTTAAAAAGTATTTAAATTTATTTTAATGTCCATATTTGATTCAACATTTGTGGTTATGGTTCATCCTCATCCAATAACGCTTTGTGCAAATCTCAAATCTCCTCTATGCCTATGGTGAGAATCATGGGTTTGTTGCCTTATTTTTGATTCACCTAGCAATGGAACATGGGAATATATAAGATCATTCAGGACCAGATAAGACCATCAGGTTGGTCTCAGTGTTCTCAAGGCATTCTGACCTTCAGGTCAATTACTTTCCCTGGTTCATTCCACATCACCACATCCACTACTGTATCTTTCCTCATGAGGCTTGTGATGCATCAATTTGGAAAGAATTTCTGAATGTATTCTTTGAGAACTTCTCAGTTTTGCCTACCAAGCACGATTTCAACCAGGTCTACCTCAGAATAGTTAGAGACCCTCATTCTCACAGCGTTATTACTCTCACATACCTGGTAAAATTCTCCATAAATTTCTTTCTTTCACAAAATCTACAGGAAACCAGCATTAAACTTCTTGCGCTACATTTCTTTGAATCAGGACAACCCAAATCGATAGTTTTTTTTGTGTTGCGCAGTCGATCGATTTATATGTTAAAAATTGCACAGTTTGTGAGCTTTGAATGGAGCTCAGGAGAGGAAGCTTAGCATGATGTGCATCAACGCTGTTTATACTGTTTGAGTGTGAATCACAACTCTTCTGAAAACGGTACGATTTATGTTACATCAACCCCCATTTTTACCACATATTTGGCAGTGAATCAGTGAAATGGCACAGAAATAAATCCAGTTACTGAACAAAATGTGTGGAAATCTGCTCAACAATCTCAATGGAGCTTTACGTCTGATCCTTCCGAATCCTTTCCCTACAGTCGTTCTATTATAGCAGCAAATCATTTCTTACATTAACCCAGTGTCCTGGCCTCTGCCGCCTTTTACCTTCTAACATGAAGACTTCCTACCATTGGAAGAAATCAGTGAATCACCAGTGAAACTGTAGTATCAACTTACACCTATTCCTTTACCCTTCTATCCAAAACAGAAGCATAGCCATTTTGTTTTAAGTGAAAAAGTTAATCGGTACAACAACTTGCACTTATATAGCGCCCTCAGAACGCTTAACAATGGCAGAACCTGACTCCAAGCTGGAGAGGGGGTGGTAGGTGGTCATAAGCACGGTCAAAGAGTAAGGCGGGACCTAAAAAAGGGGAGGGAGGGGGCAAGGCGGAGGGATCGAGGGAGAGTGTTACAGAGTTTCGGGTCATAGTGGCCGAAACCATGACCTCCACTGGTAGGATGGAGTGTGTGGAGGGACGAGCAGGAGGCCAGTGCCAGTCGAGTGGAGGCGCCGGTTGGTGGATTGGGGG